GCGTCAACACTCAAACATATTATTGCAAGCACCAACTTCCTTAATAAGATTCCTAAACTCAGAAATAAAACCAAGAATCAATAAGTGGGATGGCTTCAAGTTCCAAAGCTTCTGTCCAACAAAGGAAATGATTGAGAGTGTGAAGAGCAAGCCTACAGAATGGAGAAAATCTTTTGCCAGCTACTTTTCTGATAGAAGTTTTTTATTTTATATTAACTAGATGTTATAAGTTTTATAATTACACAACTGGTTTTGGATGCATTCCCATAATAATTAGTCCTTTTTAAATGAAAATAACATATGTTCATGGTAAAAACTCAAAACACTGCTATAGAAAGTGAAAATTAAGTTTTTCATCCTAGTTTTAAGACCTCTGTACTCAACTATCTTTTTAAAAAATCGCTTTTAATAGACTTTGTATTCTTCCCCAAGTATACTATGAATTTTCATTAAATTAATGTTTAATAAGCATCATATATGTGCCTGGAGGCAGAATTTTAAAGATGAACTAGACAAATGCTGTGTCTCTTTTTATTATCTCTCCTCGAATTGTTATATCACTCTCTTGTTTTTCCAACTAATATCTAAGTGTAGGGCCTTACATTTTCTGTACCCTCCATAGTTTTTGGTACATGGAAAACAATTTTTAAAAAATCACAAGTGGAAGAAGGTCATGCTCAACTAAAGCCGGGCAGGTGGGAGAAGGGGAATAAATACCCCTACTCTCTCCTGCCAGCATTTGGGTTGGCTGGGCCTTGTCAGAAGGCAGAGAACAAAGGAGCTCATAGATGGATGGAGAGGATTGGGTAATATGTGAAATGGGGCAGGGGTGACCAGAGAATATGATAGGATCTACATTTCTCATTCACAGCAAGGACCTGCTCAAAAGAATTCTATTTTTATGATTAGGCGAGGTGATAAGGGGAAGAGGAATCAACTAGGAATCTGAAACAGAAGAGCTAAAACACAGAGGTAAATAGGCCTAAATGTTTCACCACACAGGTTCTCTCACTTTTGGAGGATCTACTCCTGAGCATATGACACATAATAAAATATACTGATATGAAATGCAGTTAACCAGTTTTGTTTGCCTCTGATAAACATTCATTATTTTCATTTTTGCAAATTTCTTTTTTTAATTTTAGACCAGAACATATTTTTCAGCCCCCAAACACATTTTTAGCCTTGAAAGAGCTTCTAATCCTAGGAGCTATTGCTTACTGTGATTACTGGATAGAATGAACTCAGCTGCCTCCCTTCTGCATGTGTAAAGCTTATTATTTGACAGCAATACTCCCTCCAGTGAGCATCTGCTGGTGGTTGGATTTGATCTGGCTTATGGTTTCCTGTTCCAGGCTTCCAGAAACCCAGTTTATTTTTTCCCTAAGATTCCAGTATTTCTTGGGCTTTGTTTTAATCCCCATATAAATGTGTCACCTTCTGAGGTCCTTCAGGGAAGGGCATGACCAGTTTCTATGAGTTCACTTTTGGGCTTCCCAGAGATTTCTTAGAAAACACAATCCTGTATATTTAGGTAGTTAGATGATTGGCCAAATCAGTATTACTAAGCACAGACATTGTTTTCTTTGTGTCATGCTTGATAGCATCAAACAAACAAAATGCCTATCAAGTGTCAGATTCTCTCTGTCCTGGCCTGGCCATGTTCGTATTGTTTTTGAATCTTCCCAATAGTTCTTTGAAGTGGATATTATAATCCCCATTTTACAACTGACAAGTCTGAGAATCAAGTGAGTTGTCTAAAGCCCACTTAGGAGAGAAGCAAAATTCTGTGTGCCCTTGGAGTCAATGCACACTTACTGGGATCCAAGTCTTCAAGAGGTTCAGGACTTCAACTTACTGATCTTACTTATTTTGGAAAGTGTCATACGTGTTGGAAATAATCGTCTTTAATGTGGCATTAAGTGTGTCAGTAATCATTAGCACACTGGTGAATAATTGTGGAAATCAATTAATTTGGTCTTGCTACTAAAGCAATTTTAACTGGATATAGGAAAACAAAGGGCCAAAAGTCTTCTCCTAAATTCCAAGTCACAATTTCTTGTCCCTGGATCCCCATGTAGCTTCACTTGCCTTCAAAACTCAAGGAACACACAGACTACCACCATTAGCAGGAGTTGTTCTGTCAGAACCTTCTTCTTGGTGCATTTCCTTAATTTGCTTTTTTCTTGTTTCCTTGTGTAAAATTAGTTCTGTGATGAGTCAGTATTTCAGGTTTAAAATATTTTATGAGTAAAATGGACTGTACAGGTATTGCATGAACATGTATTTCTGTGCTTACTAAAATGTAAATTTAGGGAGGGCAGAGATTATTGTCTTTTTTTTGTACATTGCTGCAATCCCAGCATTTGAACTGGGTTGAACATAGTAGGAACACATGGGGTTTAATTAGTTATGAGACATTAATTTTGTTCTTTCTCTCCAAAAGTACTCTTAGGTTAACCTTAAAAACTCTTCCCATTTCTCAAATAACTCCCAGTAAGTTCTAACTTTGGCAAATGGTTCTATGCAGTATAAATAAAATTTGACACCAACAGCGATAGAGAGGAGTTTCCACCTGGGTTCTGCATATATCCTAGTCTAGGTTTCAGTTGCAGATTAGTGAGAATTTATCAGGAGTTGATGCAGACTTCGATCCCCAAGGGCACAATCCACACATGTGTCTTTCCCAGCTCTGTCTCATCATCATCTAGCACAATGGCAGGCGCTCAGTAGAAATTTGTTGAGTCAACAAACAATGCCAGAATTCATAGTCCTAACAACAGTGTTCAGCACTGAGTATAGGTTTAATATATATTTATTGAATTTCATTGAGATAATTCTCAGAGAGAATCATACCTTGCATTCCAAAACGAAGGAGGCATTATATCTGAATTATCTGCTGTTTTGGATTATCTCTGTGGCTCCTCCCCACTGTTAGGAAAGTAAAAGACGCTCTTACTGCATCAGCAAACTCCCCAAATCCGAATAGTATTTCATTTCCACTGGCCTAACTTACTATATTCCAGCTACGACATATTTAATTTTTAACCAATGCTTACCAGTATCATATACTGTTCAAGAGTGTTCACTAAGCCAATAATAAGGCCTCTTTCCAGAGCAGTGTGTTAGTACTTTCAAACTATCTCTTTCTTTTTTGTTTTCTTCCTTTTACTTCCTTTCTTCCTTCTTGACTCTGAATGCCATATAAGGATGTAAATGCAAAGGCAAGGACCTTGGCAATACTGAAAATCTAGGGAAATCTAAGAACAGTGAATAGATAGCAGCTTAGGGGAGAGACACTTCACTTGGTTATAGTATATGGTCATTCTCCTGGCTCCTGAATGCCCTGAACTGTGTTGAGCCAACATGACACAAGTTTCAGGATTCTATTCACTCATTCCCTGTAAATTTAAAGTGGTTTGACTTCAGTTCCAACAAACATGACATGACATTAACATGCCAAATATTGGGCCACATGAGCCTAAAAACACATGTATGTGTACAGTGCACACAAACATGTAAACAAATGCCTTTTAATTGATTAGTCCACTGTTGAACTCCCCAAATGGAAAGAGCACACATTTCTAGTCTTGCTTTACTTAATGATGGACACGTTGCCTGTAACAGGAGTTTCTCATGGAAGTATTTTCAAAGTATATAACACGAAACTAGTTGTTTCAGCAGAAATCAATAAAACAGAATTATGACAGATGCAGTCAATGGAGGAGGAACAATGTTCTCAATATGGATAACACCAAAGTGAAGAGACATATTTAAATAAGTACATGGTGTCAGCTTGTAGATATAACTGCACTGAATTCATTGTTGGTAAATTTAAGCTCTGTTAAATGTTAATGAATTAATCACTGTATAAACAAGTATAAGGAATGAAGTACTCAAGAAGGTAACAAGTCTAAGACAAGGTCAATTTATTCTATAACAGGAAAAATTTTTCATTATAAACACAAAGAAATTTACTTAAAATTTAAAATTTTCATCTGTTTTATTGATTAAAGCTTCTTTCCATTATCAACAAGACAATTTTCTTCCCTCTAAGTAGAGTTTTACAAATCTCTCAGCTGAGTCATTATAAAGGTCTTTCGGTATGCTCTTTTGTATTTGAAGTATCTCTTGCTTGAAATTAAATTCAGTCCTAAAATAGCAACTATATCATCCCCTAACCACTTCCCATTAGAACAGCAAACTCCAGAGATTAGTGGAGCAGCTTTCATGTACTGGGGAAAACAGCCCTATGGATGATTTAAACAGAAAACTTTCCTGCTCACTGAGAAGCAATGGGTGCATATTTGTAAATACCAACACCAGACAAAAATGAAATCTGACAAGAGTGGTGATGTTGTCCTATGCAGACTAAATCTAAGCTGAGTTCAGATATTGCTTTTCAACATGAATTCTTGCAGGATTCTTAACTCATTAACATTGGTTTAAACTTTCTCCAAAGTACAGGTGGATTCTGGAGAAAGCAGATAAGTACAAATGAGTCCCTTCAATATAAATGTTTATAGCAACAGATTCTTTAGAGAAAATGAAGCCTTATACATGAGATAAATTTCCTCATCTGCTGTAATGATTGATGGGTCCATTTGGTTACTTTGGGGGGAGGGAACAGGAGCAGGGCCTGTTTCGCAGAGCAAAGCCTGCAGGTTTGGGCTATTCTGTATGAATGCCTGCAGGTGCTGTCTATTACCACATCTTTGTTTCAGACCCACATTAACAGATTTTTAACATTGGTAACAAATGCTCTTCTCTGAGCCTCAACCAGGTTATTTTTCCAACACACTTCTATTTCCTTGGTAAAGCCTCTTTTGAGGGGCTAAATTTAGCTCTGCCAATCAGAAGAACAGGTGGTATGTGAAACTACCAAAAAGGTCCTCTCCCATCATGCTTTCTTAAGAGAACCAATCACCAGGGCCCTGCCCTGAGGATGTGGGGCTGTCAGCAGATCTGGTGAATATAAGGGCCGGCCAGGCCCTGGCTCTGGAGCAGTCGTGCATTCCCGCCTCGCCTCGGGTGTAGGGATTGCATAGAAAAGCAAAACTACACAGTCTTGACTGTGTAGTTTTGTTTTTAGGTTTAGAGGCTCACCGATTCATGTTGGAGATGGTCGGAAAAACCAACTCTACATAGGACGTCGTTTCAGAAGCAGCCTGGGCTTAGTCCCACCCTTTTTAGGCACTCTTGAGAAATCAGGTGAGCAGCAGCTTTTCTTATTGTAATACTAGAGTTACTTTCTTATTGATTTCTAGCTCCTGTTTAGTTTTGTGTGCCAAATGTCCACATAGACGTGTTTGGGTAACTTCTTGCTGCTGGTGCTGACCCATTATTTGAATCTTCTTGTTAAATTTTGTTTTTAAATGTGTGAGCTTTGTTTTTCTTAAATGGAATGCTTTAGCATATCAGCTCAGTCAATAATTCAAACTGTTTAAATTCACTGGATATTCTAGAAGTTGGGGTCTGCAATGGTGATCAAAATGTTTAGTTCTTTTATAGTCTCTTTGTGTCGGCTGAGAATGTTCAAGGTTATATTACTCAGTGATAAAGTGAGGCGCACCAAGAATAGCTCTGATAACATGCATGTGGTATCAGCTACACCCTGATGACTTTTTAAGGGAATCAACTGCTGAGATATCAGTTGCAGGACAGTGACAGAACACTTGCCTGCTGTCAGTCAATGCTGGAGAGTTTATTTTGGGAGCATGACATTTTAGATGCATACCTTCAGCCCTAATTAGATAAAGGCCTGTGAAAAGCAAGGACTAAAGCAACAAAATTCACTAGACAATAGGAGTATAAGATTAATCTAGGCCAGTTAATTGCAATGTTAGAAATTTGGAATAAGGCTATATAATTGTTTTATAAAATACTCCAAATCTCATTATGCATTTTAACTCAACTCACAATCCAATTATATGATAGGAGATAAATGCTAATGCTGAAAGGGTAAGGAATAATGTTTAAAAGCTTTTGATTTCTAAATATGCTTTGATTTTCCATCTTCTTAGAATTAGATTACACATTGTAAATACCTGTTAATACTGATATGGTGTTGTTATATACCTAAGAAGATAGTTATTTTTAGAAGATGCATTAGCTTGTAAACAGGAAAAGTTAGACACAAATTTGTTCATTTTGAAAATAACATGCTACAAAAGACTTCTTGACAAAGTTTTGTGGAAAACTTTTGGATATTATCTGAATTTTCCAAATATAATTCTTGTCTGAAAAAATGCTGGTTTAATTTTCTTTTTAACTAAGTAAAAAGATAGAATAAGGTAAGGCATTATCACAAAGAAGCCTATTGCTCCATAAAGTTTTGGTGAACAAAGAACTTTATGAAAAATAATAATGAAGCAATTGATGGTTCAGAAATTGTCTTTTTGTTTCAGAACAGTGAAATAGTCATGTTGAATAATCAGCTATTTATGCATTAGAAAAATTTTCACATAGTCTCTGAAACTGATAGACAAAGTACTTTCTTCCACTTATAAAGAACTTACCTGCAAATTTTATATTCATTTCTTCATTGAATATTTTATGTAGTAAAAGCATAGTCCTTTGTTACTTCCCCCACATTTCCCACCAACCTTCCATTATTCAGACTTCGCACACTGTTCCATATTAAGAACTCAAGCCAGCATTTTTGTTTCAAATCTATAATAAATTTTGGTCCTAACTATAAAATTAATTTTTTTCTAAATATCAGCAGTAGCAATATTACTTGCACAGTTATAGTTTGAAGAAATGTTAAGAAGTATAAAGCACCCTATAGGTCTACAAAAAGTTCATATATCCGGGGCTGTGGCTCAGCAGTGGTGCACTTGCCTGGCATGTGTGAGGCACTGGGTTCGATTCTCAACACCACATATAAATAAATAAATAAAAGATCTAGCAACAATTTAAAAAAACTTTTTTAAAGTTCATATATTCAATAAATCTTGCCAAACCCTTTCAAATTAGGAAAGAAATTGCAAAGTTCAAACTCTTAATTTTGGTGACCATTTTAAGTAATTAGACAATGCCTGTATCCACGTCAACTTTATAAATATAGCTACAGTGAGTGAAAGATATTTGGGGGAAGGAAATATTTAAGCAATTGTCCCATACACATTGCAGAGATTCATCATAGATTTGTCACATATCATCTCTTTAATTACTCACTATCCCTATGTTATTCCAATTTTCAACTCTCGGCCTGATTTTTACACCATTGATAAGGCCACTTGGGTATATTCCTTGCTCTATCTGGCTAATTTTCTCCCCTCATTTCCCCTTAAATTTATTGCTTTGTGTTAAATTTTAAATCCAAGCCATAAAGAAGAGGCTTTCCCATTATCGCAGGCTCATAGATGACCAAGGAGCAATCCAGTGGAGAATATGTCTCTTTCATCCCCACAGGAGCTCCAGTGGCCCTTGGATGATATCCTCACTTACTTTCTCTTCCTTTTCAGAGTGCCTAAGAAGATGACAACTCAAGCACCGACGTTTACGCAGCCGTTACAAAGCGTTGTGGTACTGGAGGGTAGTGCCGCAACCTTTGAGGCTCACGTTAGTGGTAAGCCCACCCTGGTGCTTTCCTTTCCTTTGCCTCCTTTCCAATGAATTGCCTTTGTTGTAGGACATGATGCTGAGATGATGCTCTGCTTCAGTTTTGTAAAATTGGTGCAGCGCCCTGGAAGGGTCATTTTCAGGGTCTACCATTCAGAGTACTGACACAATCTGACAATATAATGACTCAAAAATGTTTTATTCATATTTATAATTCCACAAAGCAAAAATAATTAGCATTAGATTAAAATTGCTGTCAGAATCCAGCAACTGAAGTCGTCCCACATTTGGTCATTCTATATTTGGGTTCAGCTGCAGAGCCAGACTGGCAGCCAAGAACTCCAGTGTAGTAAAGGCTGCTACGGAGCTTCTGGGAGGTGATCTGGGTTGGCTGCTCCATGCACAGGAATCTCAGTTGTTTTATATGGAAAATAACAATGCATCCAGCCTTCTTCAGAGTCAGAACCCTCCAGTGATGAGCTAACTCCTCATTGTTTGAGTGTATTATTTTCTATCTTCATTAAGTGGTTCCAGTGAACAAAAGACTTTCCGATCATTTCAAAATGACAAGAAGAAATACTATTTGCCACTCTGACCTTTATATTAAAGGGAACCATTTTCCCTAAAGTTTTATTTAAAAGGAAGTTTATCTGTTTCTTTATCTGCTGCTTTTTCTTCATAATTCAGTTTAGGGATGACTACAGAAAATTCATGATTTCGAGGACTTATCTATCATCTTGTGAAAAAATACACTGTTGCAAACATTTCAAAAATCACTTAATATTGTTTCCTTCTATAGTCTTGCAACTGGCCATGTAAGATTACATGGGTCAATTGAAAATTATGCTAGCTTCTTCCTTCAGTGCATCTGCATGGTACATTGTTCTTCTTTGTTTTTTTTTTAATTGTATAGCTTATAATAAAGATATAAAATAAGATTTCCTTTTTATTTTTTCTATTTTATGCACCAATCTTTCTATAATTGAATAATACTTTATTGTATATTACACAAATATCATATAATCATTCATTTTCTATTGTGTGGAGACAAATTCAATTCTCTTCCTGCATGATGAACTCTTATTGACTTTCAAATAATTACTTATCTTGGAATGCTCAGTAATTTTTCTAAACTGAACAGAACACACATAGCATCAGTGGGAGTCTCTCTCCTTGTGAATAGTAGAAACTGACTTCTTCATAGCTTGTTCCTTCACACTAATAAGTTCTTAGAAATACACCACTGAAAATACCTGATACCTATTAGTGGATACTAACACAGTATCTACTCAGCCACAGTGGGAGATTGGCTAATGTAAGGATAACAAAGTGACTTTTCCGTTATCTTCACCTCCTAGCTGGAGGAGATAAATCACCAGTGTTTATACCAAATGCAAAGTAAACCATTCCCTGAACTTGCCTCATATCTTCTCATCATACAGAACTTTAAAATACCTAAAATGTCCAACCATGAGCATATAGTTATTCACTGTTAATTTATAGTGGGAGAAAAACAAATTGGCTTTTCTAGCCACAACTCCAACTCTATACATTGTTCTGAAAGACAAGTCTTGGAAAACTGCCTCTCTGCGTTATGGTGGTTTTACTGCAGGCACACAGGAAAGCAGGAGCATTCCAGAAGGCGGTGTGCCTGCACTGCAGAGGAAGATGAGTGCACCCTCCTCCCTATGTCAGACAGAACTGTCAGATCCTTTTGCTGCTTTTGTTCCTCATTTGTGTTCAAAGAGGACACCAGTCACTTTTTATTTCAAAGTTTCCTCACTTTTATAAATCCCTTTCATGATTTTAATGATGTCTATTAAGTTGCATCAGACAGAGCCCCAGGCAGGAGGGAAGCGTATGAAAATTCTAGTCTTCTGCCTGCCACTGCTCACTGAGGGACCTTGGAAAAATCATCAGGTCTCTATTGGCCTCAGTTTCCTTCCCTGTATAATGAGGGTGCTACCCTCTACCTAAGCTCTTGGGCCTTCCTAATGGCCTACAAAGTTATGCTTCCGCCAGGAGCCTGTCAGGTTGTCACTGTCACCAAATGGTGTTTCACTCTACAAAGCTTTTTAGGTTAGAGCAAGTCAGTAAGAATAATGTTTCGGTGGAGAGGAATTTGCCGTGCCCACTCAAACATAAAGATCAATTGTGCTTGCTCTTCAGGTTTTCCAGTTCCTGAGGTGAGCTGGTTTAGGGATGGCCAGGTTATTTCCACTTCCACTCTGCCCGGCGTGCAGATCTCCTTTAGCGATGGCCGCGCTAGACTGACGATCCCCGCCGTGACTAAAGCCAACAGTGGACGATACTCCCTGAGAGCCACCAATGGATCTGGACAAGCGACTAGTACTGCTGAGCTTCTCGTTACAGGTGGGTTGGTGGGGGCATGCCTGTCCTCTGCTGCCCCTGAGGGCATCCCTTGCACCTGGCGGAAGGGGTCCATATTGAGCAATGGGTATGAGGACTTGCAGCTCCCAATCTAGAAAGGGCCCACTGAAGGCTGATTTTGTAGCAAAGCTGTTTGCCATGTGGAATTTAATTCTCCTTTCAAAATAAAACACAAAAGTGGCTGAGAATCAGTGCTTCTCTGTATACATGTTAAACACTCAAAAATGCTTTAAGGAAATATTTTAAAAATCATGCTTCTCAGCAAGTACAAAAGCTCAAAGACTTTTTCATAAGCTTCATAAGAAATATGATATATTCTAGGATTCACCAGGAATTTCCACCTCAACAAGCACCAAGATAGTTCTGACACAAGCGGTCCACAAACTAGTCATTTAAGAAATATTAAAAATACTACTCAATAACATGTTCAGAAAAAGACAAATGCTTATTATTCAAATGTATGACACCATTCACCCTGAAAAGTTATGACCAATATTAGTGGCCTCTGTTGTTCTCCATTTTTCATTACCTGGTTAGACATTAATTCTCAAAACATGAATTAATTTATACATTATATAATATCTTGCATGAACTGCATAATGTTATCAGTGCTTATCCAGTAAACCATATCTTCAATGATATCCAGTTATAGGGCTATAACTGACTTAAATAGAAAGCATATCGGGTAAAATTAGGTCTGAATCTTAAAACACATCCAGAAAATTAAGAAATAGAAAATCACAGGTTAGTAAAATTTGCTGTTGCTATTCAAAAGCACACCAAAGTTAATCCCATCCACCCTTCACATTTATCATATAAATTTTTTCCAACATAACCCTCCCCCAAAATCCCCTTTCTGTAGAATAATTAACATGAAAATATATCATTATTGAGGTTAACATTTTAAATGCAAGTAAGTATTTCAGTTCCTTGACTATCAACCAATTTGGAGAAGATTTAGGGGTTTTTTAAATTAAGTTTAAATGTAAAGATTCTATAAGTCACAAATACACCCATTCTACCAACCCCTGGAATTCGTTTTAATATAACCTATTGAAGTATACAAAGTTGCCATAACACATTAACATGGTACAGATGTGAGGTTGGGAAGTACAGAAGATTCTCTAGTCAAAACAAGATCTAGATTTTTTGTGGTGGCCTAGAACTGCTAAGCAAACATGGTGGCTGGATAGCCACCTGCCATCTCTGGGCCCCATTCTTGCTGTCATCTGCTGGCTGAGCCGGGTTCAAGGACAGTCAAGGATGCTGAATTGGCGAGTCATTGCCTGGTTTTGGAATCGGAGCTGTGATTGTTTAAAAATACCCTGTTGGTAAGGTTCTGGCTTCCTGGCCTGATTTCCTTCTCTGTCCCCTGCAGCGGAGACAGCGCCACCCAACTTCGCTCAACGACTGCAGAGCATGACCGTGAGACAAGGAAGCCAAGTGAGACTCCAAGTGAGAGTGACTGGAATCCCTACACCTGTCGTGAAGTTCTACCGGGATGGAGCTGAAATTCAGAGCTCCCTTGATTTCCAAATTTCACAAGAAGGCGACCTCTACAGCTTACTGATTGCGGAAGCATACCCCGAAGACTCCGGGACCTATTCAGTGAATGCCACCAATAGCGTTGGAAGAGCTACTTCGACTGCCGAATTGCTGGTTCAAGGTATGCACTGCAGGTTGAGAAAGGAGAAGGGGAGAGGCCTGATCTGTGACCAAGTGGGGCTAGCCTGCCTCTCCTGAGGCCCTGGGAATGCTGAGAGCTAAAATCCAAGCTGCCTTTTAAACCCTATGAAAATAAAAGTGTGAGATTCCAGGCAAGAGCTCAGTATTGATGCAATCTTCAGTTATTAACCCCAATATAATAAACTGGAAAGTGTTTCAATTAAGTTACATACACTTCAAACTATTGAAAGTACTGGAATAATGTTTTTAAGTGGTTCTAACACATTCATATTGTAGTCTTTATATGTTTACTATGGTGCTTTTCTGGCAATGGCAGAAGTTTTGAAGAAGGGGCATTTTGTATTTTTAAATCTGATTTCTATCCATACAAGATTCAAAACTTTCTGCATTTTTCCCCACAGGGATGCCCAGAAAATTTTATTGACTTTGTAGTCACAATTAACAGAATCTCTTTCCAAAGGAATGGTTTCTCCTCCTCCAATGCTCATCTTTCCCTTCCTACAGGTGAAGAAGTAGTACCCGCTAAAAAGACAAAGACAATTGTTTCGACTGCTCAGATTTCAGAAACAAGACAAACCCGAATTGAAAAGGTATTTTTCTATGCTGCTCTTTCCCAGCCTTTCTGATTGCCACTTCCCCAGCTATTCTCCCTCATCATGGACTTTGTTTTAATCTTTTGCAGAAGATTGAAGCCCACTTTGATGCCAGATCACTCACAACAGTTGAGATGGTCATAGATGGTGCCACTGGGCAACAGCTGCCACATAAAACACCTCCCAGGATACCTCCTAAGCCAAAGTCAAGGTCTCCAACACCACCATCCATGTCCATTGCTGCCAAAACACAACTGGCTCGACAGCAGTCCCCCTCACCAATAAGACACTCTCCTTCCCCGGTCAGACATGTGCGGGCACCCACTCCATCTCCTGTGAGGTAAAGTTTCTTTAAAGAGACCAGGTTATCAAGCATTGTAAAATGAGGTTTTGTGCAATCAAAAATGTAGTATGTGATACAAGAGGTATATCGAGATGTCACTGAATATGATTTTCCCAAATCGTCATTGTCCACAGGCAAGTTGAAGAACTTTATAATTCTGAATTCTTTTTTACTTCTATTTAATACATATTAGCTTTAGGAGAGGAGAAAATAACACAGCAAAAGGAGAAAAATCCTAAATTCAACCAGCCAAATCACTTGCTAAGTTTGACTTGGAACAATAACTATTACAATAAAATAATCACTACTTATCTATTGATCACTATCACTATGGCAAATATTTGATTTGACACTCTACAAATATTATCTCACTAAATATTCACAACCACTAAGAATTATTATCCTCAGTATTATGAAATAGCAAGAGCCAAAGAAGTCACTTGCTCCAGTTCTTAGTTGTCTCATCTATAAACAAAGGAGAATCATAATAAGAATAATCTCACAGATTAAATGAGATAATTAGTTGAAGGTGCCTTGTAAACAGCAAATAATTATACACATGCTCTTATACTTCCATAATAAATAAAATATTTTAGACATTTTTCATATGCTTATTTTACCTAGAAAATAAGTAGTTTTCTATGCTGAGTTAAGATGCAGGTACTTTAGAAGGCAGACTTGTATTATCAGGGCCCAGAAATTACAGTCAAGTATAAATTATCTGCAGCATATTTGAAACTCTGGGATTCAGTTTAACATAATGAGACTTTTAATATGATGAACTGAAAAACTGCAAAACTTGAGCAAACAAAAAAAAATAGTATGTCTTGATCAATTTAAATAAAAGACATGTCGACAGCTCCCCTGCCAAGAAAAAAAAATTAAAAGCATAACAAGTCATTGACCTAAAAATATTAAAATTTACTGTGAAGTTACTATAATCACAATAGTGGTGGGGCTGTAGCTGTAGCTCAGTGATAGAGGACTTGTGTAGCATGCCTGAGGCCCTGAGTTCAAACCCCAGCACTACAACAATAATGAAAGATAGTAATAAATAGAAAAATACATTAGGAAAGCAAAACAGAGTCTAAAAATAGATTCAAAAATACAGGGAGTTTGTTTTTTAATCAAAGTGACCTTTTATTTAGGGACTAGGCATTTTACTTCATGAAGAATGCTGGCCAATTTGCCATCCATCCATCCAATGCTGGCCAATGAGCATAAAACTACCTCACATCCTTTACAAAATACATCCTAGCTTGATTAAAGAGTTAGATTTTTTAAAATCCAGAGAAAGAGAAGAACAGAAAATTTGGGAAATATTTATGGGAAAGAGCTTTTAAAATAGACGTAAAGATTCAAGGACAGAAAAATAAAAAATGTATGGCAATAGCAAGTCATTGCTAGATTGCTTGTGAAAAAAAATTTTAACAGTGCTCCTTCCTCAGAAGATCTCACTGCCACTGCTAGAAAGGCATAATATATATATATATATATATATATATATATATATATAAAGGGTACAGTGTGAAAAATGCTAGCCCAGAGAGAGCCCCCAACTTGAGCAACTATACATATTTATGCTAGATAATGCCTGTAAACAAGCACAATGCAAGCAGATCTGGAGAGAATGTTAGCTGCACTTACGACAAAGAACTAATAATCAAATAGATTAAAAAGTCTCAAGTCAAAACACTAGGCATGGAATCATTATGTGATCCAGCTATACCATTCCTCAGTATTTATCGTAAAGAATTCAAGTCAGCATACTATAGTGATGCATGCATACACATGCTTATAGCAACACGATTCCTAATGGCCAACCTACAAAAGCAATGTAGGTGTCTATCAATGCATGAAATGATAAAATGTGGTATATATACACAATAGGGTTTATTCATCCATAAAGAAGAATGAAATTATGTCATTTGCAGGAAAATGGATGGAACTGTAGAACATTATGTTAAGTGTAATAAGCCAAATTCAGAATGTCAAAGGTCGTATGTTTTCTTTCATATCTGGAAGCTAGAGAGGAAAAAGGTGGGGGGGTATCTCATGAAAATTGAAGGGACATCAGTAGAGTGGAGGAAAGGGACCAGAGGAAGGGAGGAAGGGAGAGAAGGGGAAAGTGTTACATATTACAATATATAACTATATTCTTATATTGTGTGCTTGTACAAATATGTAACAAGCCCATTGTGTACAATTATAATGCACCAACAAAAAAAATGGGGAAAAAATTTCCACAAATCAATTTTCATAGAAAGAAAATTCAACACAAATAGAAGAAAATGGAAAAACCACAAGCTTTTAAAATTATTATACACATTATTGGACATTTATATTGCTAAATATCCAATAAATATAGTTTAAAAAGCTAGATATTTTCTCATTTTTATTGTTTTTAGACACTTAAAATATTAAAAATTTTGGTAAACACTAACATGAAAACTTGAACAAAAAGCTCAACTTCAAAACATGTCTAGCAATCACATTTCTAAAAGTGTTCAGTCTCAGGCTAACTCCAAGTTTGCACACCGTGAAACCACCATACAGGCCAAATGTGATTTCTGAGGGAGATAACAACCTTACTATATTTTAAATCCAAGCCTAAGGGTCATTTAGAATTAGTTTCTCTGTTCCCATGGAGTATTTTGACCATCATAACATTCTAAGAGTTTATTAATAACCTTCCAAATTCATCCCTTAAATTTGTTTTACAGTAATTAGGAAATACAAATGCCAATTTGTGGAGAAAATAATGGTTATCCAAAATAGACTCTTTCCTAAAGTGTCTCATAGTTAAATCTTGATTTTTGTTACAGAGTAAGGCAAACATATTTTATTGAATAGGGTGCATTGTCTCCAGCTGTGACCAGGTGATTATTTTTTATTTTACCTGCAGAAATAAGCACTTTCCTATAATGACTCAAATTACACTGATTTTTCACAGTTTTGGGCTTACCTGAGGCCCACTGCTAATCACTTATGTCATGCTAATCATGTCCTTAACTCTTTTGAATAAAACCACATTACCAGATACAGCAGGAACTAGGCACAAGTTGAGACTTCGAAGTATAAATCTGTCTGCTTTTCTTCAATCGCTAGAGACCTACATTATTCTAATCTGGCCTTTGTTCTATTTCCCAGGCAGTCATTTTCAGAATGGAGCCATGTTCCTTAGATCTCTCTTTAGTTTGATTACAATTTCATTTATAAAATGCAAATTGATTTTCGCAGAAAAAGCCCTTCTTTAAGAACCCGGTGAAACCTTTCTTCAGGAAACTGACTGATGTTGTAATGTACTGTTACTCTTAGAGCAAATAGCAACTGTATCTTGAGGTTAATTAGGATAATTGTTTCATTTATGATCAATGTAAACTAAATATCCTACATACTGCCAGGATACATTTATAAATGTTTTCTTAGATTCAGAATTTATAAAATGCAACGATGGAGCAATACTGCCACCTAGAGGGAGAAATGCAATAGATCTTATTGATTAAAAATAAAATGAGTTTTGCAAAAAATTTATCTTAAAATGGCTAATCAATTTCAAGATTCTAGGCCAAAACCTGTCTTTTTAAGCTATCCGGCCAGGATTTAGCACCTATACCCCTCAACTGATATTGTGTGCAGTTTGGATACATCTAAAAAAACAATGAAAAGTGTTTTGGAAGAAACTATTTTATCCATTTAATAATAATAAAAAAAATTTTAGGTTTCAAATTAGCCAAAATCCACAGCAATTATATGGTTATTTAAAGAAAGTCTTCAAGGGGAGGGGAGGGGGGATAGTAGAGGTTAGGAAAGGCAGCAGAATACAACATACACTAGTATGGCAGTAGGTAAAAAAGTGGATGTGTAACCAATGTGAATCTGCATTATGTATATAGGGTAAAAATGGGAGTTCATAATCCACTTGAATCAAATGTATGAAATATGATATGTCAAGAACTTTGTAATGTTTTGAACAGCTAATAAAAAAATAATAAAGAAAGTCTTCAATATGGTATGAGGGTGAATGCAAATAAACAGGGGCAGAAAACAAAAACCAGCTCACAAACCCTATAAATAGAGCAGCAGTTTCCAGACTGCATTGCACAGCCCGTACCCCAAAAGATTCTGCAACAGCTCAACCAGAAATCTTCCTCCTGCCCTGGGAATTTGCAAGACAGATAGACATGGTGAAGGTGGTGTGGAAGTCCTGCAGGAGGGAAGGGAGGGAGAGAGGAAGAGAGAAAGGCTTAACTTGTTTAGCCGGGAGTGACACAAGCGTTTTGATTACATAGAGCTTTCTTCATCTAGCATCTATTTGACATCCACCCACCCCTGTCCAGATGGGGAATGCAGAGACACTTACATATGAGTCCTAGATTTGCAATGTCCTTTCTTTTGCTGTATATTTAGGAAATACCTTCCTAATTATTTTTTAATGTGAGAAGATGAGACAGGGCACAAAATTCTTTAGCTTACTTGGGATTAAGTCTGATTCAGATACTGCAGATAAGAATAAGCTTTATTGAGACTTAAAGCAACTGATTTTCATATTATATACCCTCTGAACCAGTTGTGGGGACACACATTTTAAAACTCTGCCATTGTCTTAATCTGATTATGCCTGCTAGAGCTCCTCACCTTGGCATTCTGACCTCTGCTATTTGGTTTTCAGGTCTGTGTCCCCAGCAGGGAGGATCTCCACATCCCCCATCAGATCTGTGAAGTCACCCTTACTCGTCCGGAAGACTCAGACATCCACCGTGGCCACAGGCCCCGAAGTGCCTCCCCCTTGGAAGCAAGAGGGCTACGTGGCCTCCTCAACTGAGGCTGAGATGAGAGAGACAACAGTGACCAGCTCTACTCAGATCAGGAGAGAAGAGAGGTGGGAAGGGAGATATGGTGTCCAGGAGCAAGTGACCATCAGTGGAGCTGCGGGGGCTGCTGCCAGCATATCGGCCAGTGCTTCCTTTGCAGCAGGGGCTGCTGCTACTGGTGCCAAAGAGGTACAGTCAGGACTACTCTGTTTTCATTACTTCACTTCTCTTTTTTTTTTCCAACGTGATTTCTGGAATAAAAACCAGGATGGATGGATTGGAAGGAAAATACACAGGAACACAAACATATTATGGAAACTACAGACCAAATTTGGATGTCCTGTTCATAAAACCATCTTCAGTTGGGACAAAGGCTCTGATGTGAGGTTTACATACAATATGGGTGTTAGTGATATAGACCCTACATCTCTTTGCAATGATAAATGCTCACACACCAGTACATTTAGCTCTAGGTAGCTGTTTCCATTGTGCTTTTACATTTCTTACCAGACATGCCACTTTGAAAATGTATTGAACGTGTTCATTTCCAATCCAGGTGAAACAAGAGACTGACAAGAGTGCAGCTGTTGCGACCGTTGTTGCTGCTGTTGATATGGCCAGAGTGAGAGAACCAGTGATCAGTGCTGTAGAGCAGACTGCTCAGAGGACAACCACGACTGCTGTGCGGGTCCAACCTGCTCAAGAACAGGTATGCAAGGGCCGCACGTGGGGCCAGGTCCAATGGCCCATCCCTCAAACACCATTCACTGCTTTGAGCCTTGGGTGCTCAGATGCCAGGACCAAACAATGTCAAATCATTCTGAAGGCAGAACTGAACCCAGCATGACCCAGGATTTTAGAACTTCTGAGCAAAATATGGTCTGAGAGAGCAAAGGTGTTTAAGCTGTAAATATCACAAGAGCACACCAGACCAGAATAACACTGGGCTACATCAAGTAGGCAAAAGTTAACAGTATTCAAAGTATCAGGGGACTCCTGGTTGAAGCAGATGAAGGGTGGGAGGACAGAGTCAGCTACTCAAGGGAGCAGACAGCCAGAGCATAGCTACTCCAGGAGCCAGGTGTGGGAACCAGTGTTTCAGGGCAGATATTAGATTTCTCTGAGCTTCCCTGAAGGATCATTGCTTTGTTCATCTACTTTTCTCAAAACAAACGTGACATTTGATTCATGAATGAAAAGTCTCATAAATCCAGGATAATTTTCCACCTCGTATTTGAATAATTTTTGTTCTAATTTAAAACCACTCTGCCTTCCCTTCTTATCTTCTGTGACATTTTTGCCTTAATCCCGAAATATCATCATAACTTCCTGTTCAAAGTGCATTAAGGTATTTCTTCCTTTTCTCTGTGAAAATCAGGTGAGAAAAGAGGCGGAGAAGACTGCCGTAACACAGGTAGTAGTGGCCGCTGATAAAGTCAAGGAACAAGAATTAAAATCAAGAACCAGAGAAGTAATTGCAACAAAGCAAGAGCAGACGCACATAACTCATGAGCAGGTGAGAAGGATTTTTTGATTTGAAATTCACTGGTGTGATAACGTGTTAACACGGTGATAATCTTTACTGTGAAGGATGGTGTTTCTTGGACCATACAACTATTACCACACTACCTCTTGTCATGTGTGACCTGTGCACTGGATACCAAAGTCTCTGAGGGGACTTCACTGACTGCTCTCTCTATATAGACGAAAGGGACCTCTGTGAACACAACCTGAGTGTAGAAAGAGAGTCTTATCTACATTTTTTATAACCATTTACATTATGATCATTATTATGTATGTGATTGTAGGGAGATGACAGAAGGAAATAAAACTAGGAGGGAGAAATAGATATTTAAGTAGCCACATGGAGAGTAGAAGAGAACACTGAACACACTTGACTTTAAAACCTCAGAAGCTGCATCCTGACTCCTAAGAGGACTTGTGTAAATGGGTTGGATATAGAATAGAAAGCCTAGCCTTAGTAAGCCACAGGACCAGAAAAGATGAAAGGACAGTCTCATGATTGGAAGCCCTGGGGACAGAATAGAGAAGACTGATTGATAGAGAGCTGTTGGCCAGTGGAGCCAATTGTCAATTGGGTAGTTTGAGAAGAAAGGCTTTCAAGTTCCATCTAACCTTGAGGTCCTGGGTTTCAATGATAAAGTATCTAAGAATGGGAAAGAAGCAAAGAAGACGACTCCCCCACCCCACAGGCACTCCCTGGGTTCCCAGATAGAAACAGCATCCTGCAGGGGGTTAAAGATTTAGAAAATATTTTGCCTAGGATATATGCAAAAATCTTCTTCCCATAGTAAGTTTTGATTCTCCAAACCATCATGGTATTTAGGAATTTTTTTTCAAAACAAAATACTGTAGATTTGCAGATTATTAATTATCCATGTTTGATTTCTCATATATAAAATAAAAGGGTCAGGCATAGTTACTTTTCAGGTCTTCCATTCTAATATTCTGTACTCTAAGATTATCTTTAAATGACATAAAATGGAAATGTATTGTCATATATCTATTCGTAAAAATTAGAAGTCTTTTTAAAGAAGACTACAACTCTCCTGTTCAAAATGAACAGGACTGAACTCAGCATTTTTTTTTCTTTTTTCTTTTTGTTTTTTGGTCTAAACAGCCTAATTTATGTTTTAGGCAGAGAAATAATATGGTTGTACTAATGAATGAGAGATTATTTATTTGATTTAGTGACATCTCCAAAAAAGTGATTTTATTTCTTTAAATTCCTGTGTTGTATTTAATGAATACTATGTTACTTGCATTAGAGATCAGGAAACAGTAAGGTTTTGTTTTTATCTTCATTGCAGATAAGAAAAGAAACTGAAAAAGCCTTTGTACCAAAGGTAGTAATTTCCACAACTAAAGCCAAAGAACAAGAAACTAGAATTACTGGAGAAATTACTATGAAACAAGAACAAAAGCAAATAACTCAAGAAACAGTAAGTCCAACTTTGCAAATACCTTGTAGTCTGTTAATATCACATTCTAGCCAATTGTATGTCCTTCAAAATGGAGTCTTCGTCTCATGTTTTCTTTTTGTTGGTTCTGTCTCACATTGAAATTCTGCTATGATGGAAGTTCTGTTCTCACTTCTCTTTTCCTCTCAATTGATTAGTTTTGGGAGATTGTCTGTTTACAAGAACAGTGTGGGGGCATACCTATGAGCTTTCTAGGTGGAAGGTAGATATCACCTCTGACCAGTTTCACACAAGTACAATTTTTTATGCACAACCTGAGCCCTCAGTCACTTAGATTGGAAAGCATAACCTATGCACAGCTGTAAGATGGGGTGTGCACACACCTGTGGACACGCACATGACCACTGAACCTTCTGTATTCTCCCAAACATAGCAAGGGCATCTTGACATTTCTTTTGTGCCATTTGAAACTCAAAATATTCATTTTACTCTAAAAAATCAGATAAGACAGGAAACTGAGAAAACTGCTGCATCCATGGTGGTAGTTGCCACTGCCAAATCCACAAAACTAGAAACAGTCCTGGGAACTCAAGAAGAAATTGCCATACAAGACCAAAGGCTCCTCAATCATGAACAGGTGATGACTTCCTGCCGCTGTGAAAGTCACTCTCACCATTTCACTTGCAAGCCACTTGCATTTCATCCTAATGGCCACATCTTCACCACCTCCTCTTCTCATATCTCACACAGAAAATTCTTTCACCATCTCACTCCCATGAGCCTTTGCCACCCATCTGGCTTTCACTGTCACCTCTTATTCCTAACTTTCAGACTTTCTTTGAACTATTACTAACATGATATAATTCACTTTAAAATATTACTGTTGATGTCAGCCCCAGGTACAAGTTAATGGATAATAAAGCAAAGCTGTGCACTATTTATGGCTTTACTAGACTTTCCCGTGGATTATAATGATGGGAAAAAACAGCATTTGTCTGTCTTTTATTGCTAATCATGTTTTTTATTTTAAATTTATCTTATTATTTTGATATTGTCAGTGAAACAATACAGATGATTGAAGCAACTTAAATAATACAGTTAGGTGTAATTAAAATGTCCTTGAGTAACAAGAAAATTTGCCTCCTTTCTCAGTTCATTTGCTTCTCTTATTAGAGGCTCAGGAAATTTAATGACTATTTTCTCATCTTTTTTTTTTTTAACCACATGACCAGATAATGAAAGAAACTAGGAAAACAGTGGTGCCTAAAGTCATAGTTGCCACACCCAAAGTCAAAGAACAAGATTTAGTATCAAGAACTAGAGAAGGCATCACTACCAAAAGAGATCAAGTCCAAATAACTCAGGAAAAGGTGAATATAGATATTTGAAACATGAAGAGTTCATCTTTAAACTAATTGTTAGAATATTAACTATTATATAGTATGAATTATTAATCTATATTTTCCTTTTTAAATCTGTAACTAAAAACAAAATGGAAAATGTGATTGATTACCATTAATTTTTTCTGCACATTTGATTTTCATCCACCTGTAACACTTATAATTCATTTTATTCACCATTATTCTTTGCATGAAGATTAGCAATTTTAGATTTATTTTTGAAAAAGCACTGGGGCACTGGGGAAGCATCTAGAGTTTTTATTTTTTATTTTTTTTTTGGCTAACATTTCTAAGTTTTGTGATTCTCACTGACAAGTGAAAATTAATTTCTCTCCTATATTTAACCCTAAATAACTTCCTCTTACATCCCTACCAGGAGGGGGGAAGGGTCATATCATGTATGTCTGAAGCCCCATACAACTTAAATCTTGATTTTACTGTAATAATCAGATCAGAAAGGAAGCTGAGAAAACTGCCTTGTCTACAATAGCAGTTGCTACTGCTAAAGCCAAAGAACAAGAAACAATACTGAGAACTAGAGAAGGAATGGCTACTAGACAAGAACAAATCCAAGTTACTCATGGAAAGGTGACTATTGCTGTTCCAAGTGTGAAATCCCCTTTTATAATATATTAATACCAAACCTCATGTGAAATCCCCATTAATACCAAATCTTGGTTGTTGTTTTTTTTTTTTTTTTTTTAGTGTATGAGATCTATTAACCAAATTTGTTTTCATATAATTAAACATCTGAAAACTAAAAAATCAAATTATTTATATTGTTAATATTACTATGTATTCCTTTCCTCACTTATCTTTTCATATTATTTTCAACTTTTTATTATTAACATCTCGAAATCCTTCAGAAGTTGATGATTGAAATTGCATGCAGGCTAAATTTAAGAGACTCTATGAACATTAAATCAAAGTTGTATACATAAGTGGTGAATCTTACTGTAAAGAAGATGTGGTTTTTGAGAAGTCATAAGTTCACTATATTACATTATAGTGTATGGATTTATTTCAGTAAATAACCTATAATTTTCTTCATGTGAAACTGTATTTTTTTTCTCCCTGTAACTATCAGATGAGGAAAGAAACTGAGAAAATTATAGTGCCTTCAGTAGCAGCTCCACTAAAGCCAGGCAAGATCTAGTACTGAAATCTAGAGAAGGAAGTATCAAACCAGATCAATTATACATAAACCATGAGAAGGTTGCTGCCTCTATATGTAGCTATGAAATTTCCACAAATTAAGTTACTTCCCATGACTACACTTTGCTCCAAATAAGCTATTTACCTAAATTTATTCTTTATTGCTAATCTAGCATTAGAAATCAGCAGCCAAAGGGTTCCAATTCCATTAGCATCCTGACCTAAGTACTACTTGTATTTCCCTGACTGTTGCTTCCTATCTTTGACTGTTTTTTGCTAAGCATAATGTCAGATAAACTTTCATCCAAGTCTAATATTGAATGGCACATCAGCCTTTCAGAAGTCTCATGGATGACAGAAAATTTTCGGTGAAGCATATTCCAGGAGTGATGAATTTGTTTCTGTCCTGAATCACATGAGTTTGATTATCTTGTTTTTGTTGTTAAATATTAGCTAAGGATGGAAGCTGAGGAACTGTCTATATCTAAGTTCATAGTTACTGCTGCAAAATCGTCTGAACCTGCCACACTGCCAAGGACTAGAGAAGGATTTGCTATTAAGCAGGAACAAACACATCTTTTCCAAGAGGAGATGAAAACTGATGCGGTGGAGGTGAAAACAGTGTTTCATCCCATTTCATCATCAGCTCTCATAACTCTTCATCCATTATGTGTCACTGTGCTCCTAGTGTTCCATTTAATTGCTTTACTGATCAACAAAACATTAGAGATGATTAGATTCAGTCCAAGTCCTCCGGTGGAACAGTTGGCATTTCTAGTTGTGAAAGGCCAGATTAAACAACATTTGCTTTGTGTCTCCTAAATTAATTCTCAGCATTTAACTGGTGCAAATTGAGGTCTCCTAATCCAATTAGTTTTCCTGATTATCTGGGTTCCAAAAAGGTAAAGAATATTCTAGTCTATTAAGAAATAAAAGTGACTTACCAGCATAGAATACTCATTTGTAGTTGTCCACCAAACAGCATTTGTGTATGGATTTAATGTACATTAATTCAAGGAAAAAAATGCACATATGCTTCCTTAAGTTAAAGTATCTTACCATCATTAAGATTTTTTTGACATAAGTATTAAAATAAAAATGAGATTTATGTATTTCAGTGGATTTTTTAAAGTCAAATGATAATTTCATTGAGCCTGACTCTTCTCATTTTTAAAGTAAATAAAACTAAAACTTACTCTGATTACCTTGTATTATTGACTACTAGTCAAAATGTGCAAATGAGATAGCACAAATGCAATCTCCCAGCAAGCCAAGTTATATATTTATATTAGGGTTATTTGTCAAAGATGAACATTTTAAAACATCTGTAAAATTAAGGTCAACTGGTTGCCTATATTTTTTAAAAAATAACAAATGAACAAAATTAATTCACCCATGCCTCATGTATATTTTATAGTTTCTTCTAAAAAGCAATCTGAATGAAGATGGTCCATGCAATCCTTCAAGGCAGATTAAATTTCTGTGGCTTCCTAGAAGGAAACACTGGATAAAGCCCATGATCACTAAGCATCCAATTCCTTCTTTAAAAAGGCCCCATTTATATCTCAACTGGCATCAAGAGTAATTTTTAAGGTTATACATATAGCATGCTTGAGACACATTTCAGGTACACACTAGATCCTATTCACAGCAGCAAAGAAAACTGAATATTAATAAAATATTACAGCCTTCCTTTTAAAGTGCACTAGATGGACATGGAATTTGATTTTTCAGTATTCTATTTCCAAGTATCACATAGGATCATAATACCCATGTCACATCAACTGATTCGCTTTCTTTAAAAAAAAAAATTCCTTTGCGAATTGTATTTTCATTTATGTTAACCAGATTCATGGAAATGAGAAAATAATATTTTTGTCCCTTCTTTGCAAAAATGAAAGTAAATTGGATTTCATTGTGAAAGGTTGTTCTCTTGAATGCAAAATGATAACATTTTCATTTTAATCACAACATTTTCATTCATGTGTTTTAAGAGTGATGCTTTTCTAATAGATTAAACAAATCTTATCCCCAGTGAATCATAAGTAAATTCACATGCTCACTCTGTGTTCATGAGCTTTCATGTTATCTCTGATTTGCATGCAACCATATAACTCTGTAGCAATTGATTTTTCTGGATGGGATGATGACAATATTTGAGTATACTTTTATCATCACTGTCACTCGTGTCAACACCAGACTAAATGATCGACAAGATGATAAAAATAATGAAGATAACCAGCTCCGAAGTTCTGATTTCCCAATTGCCAATTGACTGTCTGTCTAGATGAATTAGCAGAAAAACCCAAATCACTTTATGATTTTATATACATACTTGTTATCCTACCTTGTGCCTAAGTGACTTAATGTTTAGTATAATTAAGCAGATATATAAGAGCATATCTAAATAGATGTCTGTACAATACAATCATCATCAAAGCATTATTAAGTTCTTAGATGCATTTCAGAGTTACATATCTGGACACGTAACATTCTTATATGACATGGACACCATCTACCTAACATGCCTTTAGGCATCTGTCAGTTCTGAATGTCTAGGAGGAACTGTGCCCAGGAAGATGTGCCTGGGAGGAGATGTTCCAGTTGGACTTTGACATTATTATGCATTAATTCTGGAAACCTTGTCTCCAGGTGGGCGCTGGGAAAAAGGCTGAAGCCGTAGCAACAGTTGTTGCTGCAGTTGATCAGGCCCGTGTGAGAGAACCAAGAGAGCCCGGGCATGTGGAAGAAACCTATGCTCAGCAGACTACTTTGGAATATGGATATAAGGAACATGTTTCCACCACAAAGGTACCTGAGCATCCCCAGCGTCCAGCCTCCGAACCCCATGTTGTCCCTAAAGCAGTCAAGCCTGTGGTGATTCAAGCTCCAACTGAGACTCATATCAAAACTACTGATCAAATGGGAATGCACATATCATCACAGGTGAGTGATTACTACCTGCTGGGTTTTCACCCTGTTCATGGGAAAGCAACCTTAATTGCTATGGTTATCTGGCAAACAGTGGTATCAATGAGTTTTACCTTAATGCAGATCAAGAAAACTACAGATCTAACAACCGAAAGATTAGTCCATGTGGATAAACGCCCCCGCACAGCAAGCCCTCACTTTACTGTTTCAAAAATTTCTGTTCCTAAGACAGAACATGGATATGAGGTAAGAAGTTACAGAGCATGATTTTAAAAATTGGTTAGCCTTAAGGATATGCATACCTAATGTAACTGTAGAGCATCTTCATTATAGGCCATTGCATGCCTGTTTTTGACAAGGTCTGTTTCCATTCATGGTGACTTGGATACCAGTCAGTTAAGTTTCTGAAATTGGCAGAGCAGGTTGAGCCTGAAGTAGCAGGTGGTTATCTTACACCTGTGAGGAGTTGAAACCATGCAGGCTTTTCTGTCTCACATTTCAGGGATAGCTTGAACTCAATTGTTTTGATAGCTGTTGTTCTAATGACTTTGTAAATGGTAGAGCATTACATAGGGTAGTTTTTCTTCAGCCGCAAGACATTTCAGCATAACTGTGAATGTGTTTTAATAATAGAGACAGACATTAATAAATCACATATTCATATATTTAATATAGCAAATTGGAAAGGTGGTATTGTTAGTGAGTTGGATTGTGACATTAAACAGCCTTGAATTAGTCTCCTATTCCTTATTAAAACTGTCATCAGCAGGAGGTTAAAATACATGCAAAAATTTTAGCAAGTTGACAGCACGTAATAATCTTCAATATTAGTTACTATTGTTCTTATTCTAAAAACATATTGAAACCTTCTATACCTTCAAAGAATTATAAGGAATATGAAATGCCTTTGTTTGGGATTGTCTCAAGTTATTATTGAAACTGAATAATTGTAGACAGCAGCAGAATAAAAACAGTAAGGAAGCCTTTAAAATGCTTTTCTGAATGTCTCCATTTTCATCTGTCACATAGATTTGTGGCTGAAACCCAAATGTGAAATTTCAAAGTAGTTCTTAGAACTTACCAAATAAAAAATAAACAATTTTAATTATTTCTTAATTTTGACCTTGCCACTATAATATTTTCAAAAGTAGCACTAATTGAGATGATTAAGTGAAGAAAATTCATGACTGGGCTTTTAAAGATTTGTGGTTCTTTCATAACAGATGTAAAAATAAGGAGTTCTTAATATAACTCTTTTAAAAAGATATTTTTTACATCTGTTTTATAAACTAACAGGAATGGCAAAAAGCTTTGTCATTGGCTTTTCTCGGTAAGAGGGATAGAACATTAAAAATGGATGGTAGAGATAATACACTCAGGTGTTAATAGCTGTCCCCCTAAACAGGAGTATTAGTGGCAAAGCACTTCTGAGGATGACTTGAATGACAGTTAATGAATGACTTTGTTTTCTGACTCCCTTTTCATTTAGGCATCAATAGCCGGTAGCGCTATTGCCACGTTACAAAAAGAGTTGTCGGCCACATCTTCTGCTCAGAAGATCACCAAATCGGTGAAGGCTCCCACTGTGAAGCCCGCAGAGACTAGAGTAAGGGCAGAGCCCACTCCTTCGCCCCAGTTTCCTTTTGCTGACATGCCAGATACTTACAAGAGTCAAGCTGGCATTGAAGTGAAGAAGGAAGTAGGGGTGAGCATCACTGGTACTGCTGTCCGCGAAGAACGCTTCGAAGTACTGCATGGTCGTGAAGCCAAGGTTGGTCGCTGGGTTGCACAGTTTCTCCATCTATTCCTATGAGTCCACCACTGCAAAGCAGCCTGTCTGGGTGTTGCTTTCTTCCTTTACTGTGCTCTAATGTAATTTTACTGAACATTGTATGGGCCAGAGACCATTTTCTCAAAAATTGTTTTATGATTTTGCATGTGCTAAATGTTTATGAGATTTCTTGGGCATTTTGTAACATCCTTTGTAAAAATTATAGGTAACAGAAACAGCAAGAGTACCTGCACCTGTTGAGATTCCTGTTACTCCCCCAACTCTAGTCTCGGTGAGTAAAAAAGTTGATTGTGTTGGGCCCTTTTCATATTTGATCATATCACTTTAATACATGAATATATTACTGATTGCAGAAATCAGTGTCTTAAATTTCTAGGTAAATGGCATTTGTGAGTTTGCAAATGCTAATTTTCATGCCATACTCTTTGGCGAGGAAAAGGGAAATTCTGTAGGGCAACTGTCATTCACATATTCAACTGATTAAATGAGCTTCTAATATGTGTAAGACATTATTTCAGGAGCTCTAGAGATACGAAGACCAATACAGTCCTCTTCAAAATCTGCCTCGCTATCAATTACATGTTCATAAACCAGCACAGTGAAACATGGAAAGTGATAAAACCTTTAACAGAAGGAGAGTCCATGGAAAGGAGAGACTAGTGCCAATTAGGGTAATGCGGCAAAGCTTTGTTGAAAAGTTTGCTTTTGCTGCTGTGCTTTCCAGCTTAGTAAGGATTAAATATGCAAGAATTTAACAGAAGGCACAGAGTTTCCCTGATGACATGAAAGTAATACAGTCCCACTGCAGGGAGTTGGAAATTTTGAGCATTAATTTCTAATTGGGAATATTCCAAATTCCAAGGGAGGTACTTCTCTAATATTTCTGGAGTCCTGATTAATAAGCCATATTGTGGCAATTAAATTGTGCAAATGTGTTCAAATGCCACGGTTGTTGTAACAGGTAGAGATAATTAATGAATATGCACTTATATCATAATTTCCTTTTTCTTCTCTCTTCAGGGCTTAAAAAATGTGACTGTCATAGAAGGTGAATCTGTCACCTTGGAGTGCCACATCTCTGGATACCCATCCCCCAAAGTGACATGGTACAGAGAAGACTACCAAATCGAAAGTTCCATTGATTTCCAGATAACCTTCCAGAGTGGAATTGCTCGCTTGATGATTCGTGAAGCCTTTGCAGAAGACAGCGGGCGATTCACTTGCAGTGCTGTCAACGAGGCTGGGACCGTCAGCACATCCTGCTACCTAGCAGTACAGGGTTAGTGGATGTCCTCCACAGTTCCCATGCACGTGTCACCACTCTTATCGGGCATGCTGTTCTACAATATGGTTTACACACATCTCATAATGGTGTCCCTGTTTGGAATTGGGGGGGGATAGATTATGGGGTCCACTTAACTGTCATTGCCAAGCAGAAGTCACTAATGGAGCAGACTAAATAGCTCACTTCAGTGAGAAATTTTGTCGTGTTCTAGTTTCAGAAGAATTTGAAAAGGAAACAACAGCGGTGACTGAGAAATTCACCACTGAAGAGAAACGGTAAGAACAAAAACATTCTTTTGCCAATTAGCTGCTGTTTTGGCACAGTTTTTGATATTTTGTCCTTTTAGTATTGACCAGTTGCAACCCAGAAGCTAATGCAAAGGGAATTCTCTTCCAGCTTTGTTGAGTCAAGAGATGTGGTAATGACTGATACTAGCATCACAGAGGAACAAGCAGGGCCCGGAGAACCTGCCGCCCCTTTCTTCATTACAAAACCAGTGGTCCAGAAACTGGTGGAAGGTGGGAGCATCGTGTTTGAATGCCAGGTTGGAGGCAACCCAAAGCCCCATGTCTACTGGAAAAAATCTGGTGTTCCTCTAACAACTGGATACAGGTATTTTGACAGCTGTATAACAGAGTTCACTGTGGTTGTGCAATATATAGAAGAAGTCTAGAGAGAAGTAGAATTTATCTATGCCACCAACTCCTGCACATAGAATCTTTCACTACAGAGCTTTCATCACTGTTCTGAGGTGTTTTTACATTTTATGCAGAATATTATTGAGAAATAAAACTTTGTGACCAAGGTGGATGGGAGATATAGTCTAGTTTAATTCATTGATAGTGCTAGTGAAATAGAACATTTTATACGTATACACACTCTCTGTCTGACCCTCTCTCCCAGAATGGATTCAAGATAACTTTCAATTTAAAAAAAAGTAATAATTAAGTTAAAAGATAAAAAAAAATAGGGGTAATGTAATGAAGAAAAAAAGCTTGTCATGTATGAGAAGCTATGTTAATGAATTTTCTGAAATTGAATATAAAATCTAGTTCTAAATATCCTACAGTTTTTTTAAGTCAAAAAGGGCAACTTGATAACTTAAAAATGTCATGTTAAATATAGTATTCCAGAGACTTAATATTAAAATATTTAAAAATTTTATTTTTGCTATTCATTTGATCTTCAAGTGAAATAATGAATAAAGAGAAGATAACTGTTGTTTAAATAACCTCATCATTTTCTCACATGAATGCTGAAGCTACTTATTTCCATAAGCAATGTTATACTCCATATTTTAAAGAATATTTAAATATTCTTTAAGATAAAGATATATTCAAATAGTCTCTAAAATTAAATTTTTAACTTCCTTGTCCCTCATTACTCATATACATGTATTTTCCTCAGTTTTCAGCAATTTTATAATTATAGTCTATGGTAGAGCTTAATCACATGTTTATGATTATTGAATTTTATATCACAGATTCATTGATAAACAAGTCCATTTTTTTTTTACTCTCAGAAGGGTTGTTTAGAACTGATTTTCTTGTTTATTCATTTCCATAAAGATACAAAGTAAGTTACAACAAACAAACTGGTGAATGCAGACTGGTGATTTCTATGACCTTCGCTGATGATGCAGGAGAATACACTATTGTTATCCGTAATAAGCACGGAGAAACTTCTGCCTCCGCTTCCTTACTTGAAGAAGGTAAGTTCAAAGAGTAGTTTCTATGTGCCTGATAAGAAGTGAAATGCAATGAAGCAGCTGTGCCCTGTTGCAGTATCCAAATTCTGAGACTTACTCCTTCTGTTGGCCTCAGCTTCAGACCATTCTAAGGCTGAATTTCTGAGGTTCTGTCAGGAGTTCCATTTATTGAAGGATAGCTTCTATTGCCCACTCTTGCAATGCAGGGATTCTAGATCCAGGTCCCTTCGAGGGCCAGCCAGGTAACATGCATGAGCTCAATGAAGACAGTGGCAAACTGGCGTACATGTCTTGCCTCAAGGAGCGGTAGCTCCCATCTCCCATGTGTTGACGCCAAGCAAGCACAAACCAAGTTCAATGTTGCTAGAGCTGCCAATATTTTAAAAGCTAGAAATCAAGATTTTTGATGTTCATCATTTGAAGGAAAAGAAAGTAGTAACATTCATGCCAAACACGAAATGTCTGTAGGTCACCATTATCTCTGCTAGCTGTTTACATTTACAGTGAACAGCTCTGTCTCATTTGATCTGCTCCACATCCCTTAGAGGAAGTTATTTTATTATCCCTATTTAGCAGCTAAAACACACAAGAATCAGGAAGGAAAATGAATAACAAAAAAACCACACAGCAAATCAGGAAAACCTTTAGAGTAGATCTAAAGGACTGACTGCTGAAAATTTTTTTCAACAATAGTTTGACTTGTTACTATAAGTTTGGTTTTTAAATTCAATTTGATATTTATTAAGCAATTTGACAGTAGAAATTTGGAAAACTGGTTCTTCATTATTAAACTTTCCCTTGTTTAGGCTTGTCTGAATGAATAGGGCATTCATTTTTGTAAGAATATCAAAAATTAACTTATGCTCTTAACTCCTAGCTGATTATGATTCACTGATGAAATCCCAGCAAGAAATACTTTACCAGACACAAATGACTGCATTTGTTCAGGAACCCAAAGTTGGAGAAATAGCACCTGGATTTGCATACTCTGAGTATGAAAAAGAATATGAAAAAGAACAGGCCTTAATTAGGAAGAAAATGGCCAAAGATACTGTAATGGTCAGAACATTTATAGAAGACCAGGTGAGTATAACAATAACATTCTAAGTTGTCTCATAAATTATGCTTTTCTCCAGCAATACCCCTTTTTAGTTTGATATTTTCACTTTCAAGGGATGAGATCAGGGTTAGACAACTATTTATGTGTCTAAATCCACTGTTAGCAAATTTCCTTAATCTTTGTGATGTATTGCTCCTGGAACTTGAGAAATAGAGATTGTATATATGCAAAAAACATGAGTTTTGATATGAGGTTTAGGAAAAAATATAAATATTAGCACAAGTAAGTCCATTAATGCCAAGACACCTATATCTGTATGATGAACATTCCAAATGTAACCCATACTGAAAATACTATTTTACCCAAGATGCCACAGCATACACTGGCAAAAGTGACTTTTTTGTAGATTCAAAACCAAACCAAAAATAACAAGAGTCATGTGGGTTCTTTTCAACAGTTAAATATATGAGTATATGACCAATGTGATCCTACAACATGTATAATCAGAAAAATTAGAAATTATACCCCATTATGTATATCAAAGTACATAAATGCATTCTACTGTCATGTATAACTAATTAAAACAAATAAAAATTTTTAAATAAAAACATAAATTTTATTTAAAATGGAGGTACAAAACAAAACAAAACTTCAATCATTCCTTAGCACAGAAACTAATACACAACTTTAAAGAATTTCTATCAGTGAGGATATGTCTTTCTAACACATCATGTTTCTACTGCACAGGAATTCCATATTTCTTCTTTTGAAGAGAGACTCATTAAAGAAATTGAATACAGAATAATAAAAACTACATTAGAAGAACTTCTTGAAGAAGATGGAGAAGAAAAGATGGCAGTTGATATTTCTGAATCTGAAGCCATTGAATCAGGATTTGAATTAAGAATCAAGAATTATAGAATTCTAGAAGGGATGGGTGTCACTTTTCATTGCAAGATGTCTGGATATCCATTACCCAAGGTAGAATATAAATACTTATCAAACCTCCATGCTACAATAATGATACAGATAAGTTACACTACAACTATTTTATCCAAATTTCATTAACATTTGCTTGGTGTTCTTGGCAGATTGCGTGGTACAAAGATGGCAAACGTATCAAACATGGAGAAAGATACCAGATGGACTTTCTACAAGATGGCAGAGCTAGTCTGCGTATACCTGTTGTTCTTCCAGAAGATGAAGGAATCTATACTGCATTTGCTAGCAATATTAAAGGAAATGCAATTTGCTCAGGAAAGTTGTATGTAGAGCCTGCAGCACCACTTTCAGCTCCAACTTACATACCCACACCAGAACCCATGAGCAGAATCAGGTGAGATTTGTAGGGAATTGAGTTGCTTAGTGTGTAAATTGTGTTTAAACACCAAACATCCCAGTAGCAAATGGCTGAGATCACACAGAAATGTACCATTGGCAAATACTGACAACTGTCTAGAGTTCTTCTTTCTTGCACTTATGTGGAATGAACAAATAATTTCATTAGTGTACCATGCTATTCATTTTCTTAGTGCTTATACCTAATATCACAATAGCTCTTATTTATTTAACACATGATCTTCATAGATGTTATCTTTAATTCATGCAATAGCCCTACAATGTAGGCATTATTAATGCTTTCTTATAAATTGGAACACTGAGACTCTGGGAACCTTTGCAGATTGCCTTAGTTCACCTAGCTGTTAGTGGTTGTGCCAGGATTATAAATCCAGCCTGGTTTGGCTACAATATGTAAATATGGTTTGGTTTGGTTTTTAAATGTAATTTCTGTTTTCCTCCTTTAGATAAAATAGTATATTTTTCTTTTCCCATAAACTTATTCATTAGTTTATTTAACCAATTAATCAATTAAGATGTCTTAGTAGTTGAACCAAGAAGGTATGTTGACTAATTAAATCCAGATGGTGAGGAAAAGACAGTAATAAGGATAGTTTCAAGACTTTGAGCCTGAGTGTCTAGATGTGTTGAATGATTACTGACCAGGAATAAGACTATACGGGGGAAAAAACCCACATAATTTGGAGAATAATTATATATTCTATTTTTGGATCCCAATGAATTTAAGGTACTTTTAAGGTACACACAATAAGTAAATTCTAAAATGACCTTACCAAATAAGAGAAAATTGTTTATTATTTTGCTGAATTTTCTAAATGTTTTGTGAAAATATTCTGTTTTGCCTTGATTTTTCAGGTCTGTCTCTCCACGTTCAGTGAGCAGGTCTCCTATACGCATGTCCCCTGCACGGATGTCCCCTGCACGGATGTCCCCTGCAAGAATGTCCCCTGCACGGATGTCCCCTGCAAGAATGTCCCCGGGACGTAGGCTGGAGGAAACAGACGAGTCACAACTTGAGAGACTGTATAAGCCAGTCTTCGTGTTAAAACCTGCTTCCTTCAAGTGTTTAGAAGGACAAACTGCCAGATTTGACTTAAAGGTTGTGGGTAGACCTATGCCAGAAACATTCTGGTTTCATAATGGTAAGTTTAGTTTTGTTCAATGAATTATTAAACACACAAAAAGGCTAGTGTGTGTGTGTCCAAGAACTTTAAAAATTTATTTTAAATCTGTTTTTGTATGTACGTATTTTTTTTAACAGGCCAGCAAGTCGTCAATGACTATACCCATAAGGTAGTCATTAAAGAAGATGGTACCCAATCACTCATTATTGTTCCTGCAACGCCCAGTGATTCTGGGGAATGGACTGTGGTTGCCCAAAATAGGGCAGGGAAATCTTCAATTTCAGTGATTTTAACTGTGGAAGGTAAATAAAATAAAAACAAAGAAACCACCTCATCTCTTGGATTGTAAACAGCCCTCCTCAATTCTAAATCGTGACCTTCCTCTTTCAGCTGTGGAACATCAGGTAAAACCAGCATTTGTGGAAAAACTGAAAAATGTCAACATCAAGGAAGGCTCCCTGCTTGAAATGAAAGTCAGAGCTACTGGTAACCCCAACCCTGACATCGTATGGTTGAAAAACAGTGACATCATCGTACCTCATAAATATCCAAGAATCAGGCAAGTTTGTTTGAAAATACAACAATTAAGCTTATTGTGCAAGTTCAATAACCAAGGAAGTAATACTACTTCTATATTATTGACATTTTTTTTTCACTTTTTATAGGATTGAAGGAACCAAGGGAGAAGCTGCCCTTAAAATCGATTCCACTGTCAGCCAAGACTCTGCCTGGTACACTGCAACTGCTATTAATAAGGCTGGCCGAGACACCACAAGGTGCAAAGTAAATGTTGAAGTTGAGTTTGCAGAGCCTGAACCAGAGAGAAAGTTAATCATTCCACGTGGGACATATAGAGCAAAGGAGATTGCAGCCCCAGAACTGGAGCCCCTCCATTTGCGATATGGTCAAGAGCAGTGGGAAGAAGGTGACCTCTATGACAAAGAGAAACAACAGAAACCTTTTTTCAAGAAAAAACTCACTTCCCTAAGACTTAAGCGCTTCGGACCTGCCCATTTTGAATGCAGACTAACACCGATTGGTGACCCAACAATGGTAGTGGAGTGGCTTCATGATGGAAAGCCCCTGGAAGCAGCCAACAGGCTCCGTATGATCAATGAATTTGGGTACTGCAGTCTTGATTATGGAGTTGCATATAATAGAGACAGTGGCGTCATTACTTGCAGAGCCACTAACAAATATGGAACAGATCACACATCTGCTACCCTTATCGTTAAAGATGAGAAAAGTCTTGTGGAAGAATCTCAGTTGCCTGAGGGGAGGAAAGGCCTGCAGAGAATTGAGGAATTAGAGAGAATGGCTCATGAAGGTGCACTTACAGGTGTAACAACAGATCAAAAGGAAAAGCAAAAGCCAGACATCGTCTTGTTCCCAGAGCCAGTAAGAGTGCTTGAAGGGGAGACAGCTAGATTCCGCTGCCGAGTAACAGGCTACCCTCAGCCCAAGGTCAACTGGTACCTCAACGGACAGCTCATTCGCAAAAGCAAACGGTTCAGAGTTCGCTATGATGGCATTCATTATCTGGACATAGTGGACTGCAAATCATATGATACAGGTGAAGTCAAGGTCACGGCAGAAAATCCTGAAGGTGTGATAGAGCATAAAGTGAAACTTGAGATCCAACAGAGGGAAGATTTCAGGTCTGTCCTTAGGCGAGCTCCTGAACCAAAGCCTGAGTTTCAGGTTCATGAACCTGGAAAACTTCAGTTTGAAGTACAAAAGGTAGATCGACCTGTCGACACGAGCGAAACCAAAGAAATCGTGAGATTGAAGAGGGCAGAAAGAATCACCCATGAAAAAGTGTCTGAGGAGTCGGAAGAGCTGCGCAGTAAATTCAAGCGCAGAACTGAGGAGGGATATTATGAAGCCATCACAGCCGTGGAGCTCAAGTCTCGGAAGAAGGACGAATCCTATGAAGAACTCCTGAAGAAGACGAAAGATGAACTTCTCCACTGGACCAAAGAGTTAACTGAAGAGGAGAAGAAAGCCCTTGCCGAAGAAGGCAAAATCACTATTCCAACATTTAAACCTGATAGAATTGAACTTAGCCCTAGTATGGAGGCACCCAAAATCTTTGAAAGAATCCAGAGTCAAACAGTAGGTCAAGGATCTGATGCACACTTCAGGGTCAGAGTTGTGGGGAAACCAGACCCTGAATGTGAATGGTACAAAAATGGTGTGAAAATCGAGCGATCTGACCGAATCTATTGGTACTGGCCAGAGGACAATGTTTGTGAATTGGTCATAAGAGATGTGACTGCCGAGGACTCAGCCAGCATCATGGTTAAAGCTGTCAATATAGCTGGAGAAACCTCAAGTCATGCATTCTTACTTGTCCAAGGTAATTTGAAAATCTTTCATTTAATGGACCTGCCTCTATGTGTCCATGAATATCCAATTGCATAGTTTTAAAGTTTTCTTTTCCTATTGCTCATATTATAAATTTAACATAATGTGCTTTTTTCTCCCCCCTTGTAGCCAAGCAATTGATCACTTTCACACAGGAATTACAAGATGTCGTTGCTAAGGAAAAGGACACCATGGCAACGTTTGAGTGTGAAACTTCAGAGCCATTTGTCAAAGTGAAATGGTATAAAGATGGCATGGAGGTGCATGAAGGAGATAAATACAGGATGCACTCAGACAGAAAGGTCCACTTCCTCTCTGTGCTGACCATTGACTCCTCTGATGCTGAAGACTACAGCTGTGTTCTTGTAGAAGATGAAAATGTCAAAACAACAGCAAAACTTATTGTTGAAGGTAGAAAATAATGATGTCATTGTTTACTTAAGTTGTAAAGTCACCTTTGGTTTGTGACAAAATTAGTTATGCAATTTTACTTTCATGAAAATATAATTTCTTTGAGAATCAGCCATAAGCTTCTTAGCAAGAATCATGAATTTATATCCCTATTAAGAATATTGATGGTAGGGTTTTTTTTAAAGCAATATTACTTTGATATTTCACTTTAAAAATTCTATGAAATATAACTCTGCTTTCAAAAATAATATAAAATTAAAATAACTCCTTTTGTTGAAAAATTTTCAGTCTGTTAGCAGGCAAATATTAGAAATATTCCTGATAGCATGGGAGAAAGAAAAGCTATACAGGGCATTGTCTCTATCCTAAGTCTTGATATAGAACTCTCCAGAGAAATCAGTTTACTCTTATCTTATACTTCAGGTGCTGTTGTGGAGTTTGTCAAAGAACTTCAGGACATAGAAGTTCCAGAATCATTTTCAGGAGAGTTAGAGTGTATCGTGTCCCCAGAAAATATAGAAGGGAAATGGTATCATAATGGTGTGGAGCTTAAGTCCAATGGCAAATACACAATCACATCTCGCCGAGGACGTCAGAACCTCACAGTCAAGGATGTAACCAAAGAGGATCAGGGAGAATACAGCTTTGTTATCGATGGGAAAAAGACAACTTGTCACCTTAAAATGAAACGTAAGTCTTCCCACTCCCATCAGCCATGAGTAAGCTCATGATGGTTGATCGAACAAAATAATCATGATGTTCTTTTTTGCTCAATATTTCACAGCCCGCCCCATTGCTATTCTACAAGGACTTAGTGATCAAAAAGTCTGCGAGGGTGACATTGTCCAGCTTGAAGTTAAAGTCTCCTTAGAAAACGTGGAAGGCATCTGGATGAAAGATGGCCAAGAAGTCCAGCACAGTGACCGAGTTCACATCGTGATTGACAAACAGTCCCACATGCTGCTCATTGAAGACATGACCAAGGAAGATGCTGGAAACTACTCCTTCACCATTCCTTCCCTTGGACTCTCCACCAGTGGACGTGTCTCAGTCTATAGTGAGTGTTACTTATATACTTTTGCATATCATTTCATTTTTGCAATGCTAGAAATTGAGCCTGGGATCGCACACATACTGAGCTACACCCCAGCTCTAGTTTCATGGTTACATTAACATGTGAGAAAAAGAACTTTAATGAGAAGACATCTTAAACAAAATTCTGATCATAATTTTTTTTTTTTAATCCTTGTCTGCTTTTGCAGGCGTTGATGTGATAACACCTCTAAAAGATGTCAACGTGATCGAGGGTACCAAGGCTGTGCTCGAATGTAAGGTCTCAGTCCCTGATGTCACTTCTGTTAAGTGGTATGTGAACGATGAACAGATCAAGCCCGATGACCGTGTACAAGCCATTGTCAAAGGCACTAAGCAGCGACTTGTGATTAACCGAACTCATGCTTCAGACGAAGGACCTTACAAGCTGATGGTTGGCAGAGTTGAAACCAGCTGTGACCTCTCTGTGGAAAGTAAGGGTTATTTCATTCAGTCATTATTTTAAGCATTCTACTTTCCAACTATGATAATAACCAATTTGTTATTTAATTTTTCCCTAGAAATTAAAATTATCAGAGGTCTTCATGACCTTACCTGCACAGAAACTCAGAACGTGGTCTTTGAGGTTGAGCTATCCCACTCAGGAATCGATGTCTTATGGAATTTTAAGGACAAGGAAATCAAACCCAGTTCTAAATATAAAATTGAAGCTCATGGGAAGATATACAAATTGACAGTTCTAAACATGATGAAAGATGATGAAGGAGAATATACATTTTATGCTGGAGAAAATATGACATCTGGAAAACTTACAGTGGCAGGTTGGTACACGTTTTGTTTCACTTTATCTCTTCTGTGGACAGTCTGTTTTCATTTAAGCAATTGTTGCCCAATTCTCCCCCAATTCCCATCCATTTTCCACTTCCATGTCTCTACTCACATAGATTTCTAGTACCCTCAACATTTCCCCCACCAGCCTAAATGCCAAACGTTCACCAGGGCTTACCTCACATGCCATCTCCTCTGTAAAACCTCCTTCAGTTTCCTTGCTGGAATAGGATCTCTTTCTCCTCTGACTCCAGGATCACTTGACCCTTGTTAAATACTTGTCTTATTCCCTGTTTCCTCTTCCCACTCATAAGATAAACCCCTTAAATCTGGACTTCTTTCTCTTCTCTGTGTACTCCACATGACCTACGATCAATAAAGGTTTACCCAATTGAGTTTTATTTAAACTTTCCTACTTAAAGGTTTATTTCCTTATTTTAGGAAATAAACTCTTGCTTCTTTAAACTTCATTTCTCTTATTTCCTTCATACTTTTTATGCACCCAATGAATGCATGTTAACACAACTCTGCATATCTGTTTATCTCTTATGACATGAGTAGGAATAATACCAGTCCCATTCATCAGAGATGCTTAGCTTTAAAATGAAAGATCAAATGCATAAACTAGTTTTCAACAATAACTAGAAATCATCATCAATTTTTTGGTTTGTTATAATTTAATCACAGAGGAATTAAAATACTACATTCAGATTAAATTGTGTGGTCCATGCCACTTGGTATATAAGCAAGTTAGATAGTAAAAGTGGTATGAAAGTTTAATAATTTATGCTTTATTACATCATAAGATTTCCTCTCAGATTTGACCATAAAAATACAATACAACAAAATCTCAACTTCTGCACTTTGATATGTTTAATGTAAACTACATGTTTTTAAGTGTGTGAAAACAAGGAAAAAACTACGAGTTCTTTGGTGATTTCACTCAACATTTTTAAAGTGCCTACCATAGGCCAGGTACTTTTAGAAGCTCAGGACATGAAAATGAGTGAGTTATGATATTTTTTCCTGAAGAACTCAAATTTTAGAGGGGAACAGATACATAAGCTACATAAGCAACTGAATTGTTAAAGCAATTATTTCTGATGATGATGGAAGAGGCAGTGGAAGAAACTGTTTGGGAGAGGTGACATTTGTCAACACATTGATTTTTAGTATACAGGAGTCCTCAATCCTATGAAAGCATTAATGACTTGAACATTTTGTTTAGCAAAATGTTCCCAACCAAATATCAGTCATATTTCCAGGAAATATTCCTCACAGGGACCAAATACAATGTTTAGAAGAAGGAACTCAGTTAAAGGTCATTCAACTTGTGTGCTGTGCATTATGATTCTCAGAATTCTGTATTTTTATCAGTTGCTTTTCCTTTGCAAAACTGTTCTGATTCCAGTATATTCTCTGGTTATTAGTCATGCATATGTAGAATAAGAGATTTCTGTGATAGCTTCTAAATATGGGTAAAAATAATCTCATTAGACATTTCACAGTGTTCAAAATCATGTTTCAAAGTTTGATTTTAAATTGCACAAACATTACTTTATTCTATAAATACTTTAAAAGAACTCACGTGTACTTCTCTTGTTCCCAAGGTGGGGCAATCTCCAAGCCACTCACAGATCAGACTGTAGCTGAATCCCAGGAAGCTATATTTGAATGTGAAGTTGCCAACCCTGATTCTGAAGGTGAATGGTTGAGGGATGGCAAACACCTGCCACTCAGCAACAACATCAGAAGTGAATCTGATGGCCACAAAAGGAGACTTGTTATTGCTGCCACCAAGTTAGATGACATTGGAGAATATACCTATAAGGTGGCCACTTCCCAAACATCTGCCAAACTCAAAGTTGAAGGTCAGTGATATAACAGAGTTACCTTTTCCAAATCATATTGCTTTCTTAACTGTTATTTTAGAAGTCAAGTGGTATAAACATTTTGGATGATATGAATCTTCATTTCATAAAAACATTATAAATTCTCTGAACTTTCCTTCTGAGCCATATCAAATGTGTCTATGTGATGAGATAAAGCTATTTCATAGGCTCTGTGAAGTAATTAAATCAGACACTGATTCCCCATTTCTCTTTCATCCTTCTCCAGTCAGTCTATTAAGCTATTAGTATATGGTTATGCAAATTTCATCCCAGTCTATATTTCAAACATAGAAAAACAGTGCAAAATGTCATGTCCAACTGAATCCCATGCTTCCCTAAATAATCTTTTAGAATGAGGAACTGCATCCTGCAAAATTTTTGTAACCATTGTTTTGTAAGATGACTGGGTAATCGTCTTGTTCAGGACTTATTTTCCTTGCTGTTCTTTAATATTTTCTAAACCGATCATTAATTCATCTTCAGCTGTCAAAATTAAGAAGACTCTGAAGAATCTCACAGTGACAGAGACACAGGATGCTGTTTTTACCGTCGAGCTTACACATCCTAATGTCAAGGGTGTCCAGTGGATCAAAAATGGGGTTGTGCTGAAATCCAATGACAAGTATGATATCTCAGTCAAAGGAACAATTTACACTCTGAGAATTAAAAACTGTGCCATCGTGGATGAGTCTGTCTATGGCTTCAAGCTTGGAAGGCTGGGAGCCAGTGCCAGACTGCATGTTGAGAGTAAGTTGACTTGGAAACAATTTACAAGGAAGTAATTCATGATTACCATTAAGTTAACCCTATCACTGAATTTCTCTATCTTCACTAGCTGTCAAGATCATTAAAAAGCCAAAGGATGTCACTGCCTTGGAAAATACCACTGTTGCCTTCGAAGTCAGTGTTTCCCATGACACGGTTCCAGTAAAATGGTTCCATAAGAATGTGGAGATTAAGCCAAGTGACAAGCACAGACTGGTCTCAGAGAGGAAGGTCCACAAGCTGATGCTGCAAAACATTGCCCCCTCAGACGCTGGGGAATATACAGCTGTGGTGGGGCAACTGGAGTGCAAGGCAAAGTTGTTTGTGGAGAGTAAGTTTTTAGGCAGCCCCACTGCTCTATGATTCTACCTACCATTTGTTTTGTTTCATTTAATTTTAAAATAAAATATGTTAACTGAAGTGCTCTCTCTCATTTTCCCTAGCATTACACATCACAAAAACCATGAAAAGCATTGAGGTACCTGAGACCAAAACTGCCTCCTTTGAATGCGAGGTGTCCCACTTCAATGTCCCTTCCATGTGGCTGAAGAATGGAGTGGAAATTGAGATGAGTGAAAAGTTCAAGATAGTTGTGCAGGGAAAACTCCACCAGCTCATCATCATGAACACCAGCACAGAAGATTCAGCAGAATACACGTTTGTCTGTGGCAATGACCAAGTCAGTGCCACCCTGACAGTGACTCGTAAGTACAAAAATACATATATGTATGTATGTATGTGTGTATGTGTGTGTGTGTGTGTGTGTGTGTATATATATATATATATATATATATATATATATATATATAATTTATTTAAATGCACATATTCAGTGGACTCATTATTATTTCATATCCTAGACTTTTCCTTACCCAACATTTATTCTACTCAAAAAATTAAAAAAACTTGACTGACATATCTAGTGTGTGTTCACACTGTTAGGTGCTAGCACCCCCACCAGGATAAAATTTCCCAATTATAGTAGCTTTGAAAGGCTACTCAGAAAGATGCTTCATTGTCTATCACTTCATCTTTCTGCTCCTCTCGCAGTTGGCATTGTCCTGTACAGGATATGGAAGACATCAAAGCTCCTGTCTCTGCATTGTAATCTGTTCAACAGACATACTAATAACATATCAAGTTTTCATGGTGCATCTGTTACCACACACATCGTATTTACGTGAAGTCTCCTTGGGTGTTTTCCCTTTCCCCCTTGCAGCAATCATGATTACATCCATGCTAAAGGACATCAATGCTGAAGAAAAAGACACCATTACCTTTGAGGTGACAGTAAACTATGAAGGCATCTCTTACAAATGGTTAAAGAATGGTGTGGAAATCAAGTCAACTGACAGGTGCCAGATGAGAACCAAAAAGCTCACACACTCACTGAACATCAGGAATGTTCACTTTGGAGATGCTGCTGACTACACATTTGTGGCTGGAAAAGCAACCTCAACAGCCACACTTTATGTGGAAGGTATGGCTTTATAAGTGTCATAGTAATAGGGGAAAAAAAAGATAAAACCTACTGTATAAAATATTAGTCCATCAATTGATAAAGAGATAAATAAAAGGTAGTACTTCCATACAGTGGCATATTAATTACCAATGAAAAGGAAGTACTGATGTGTTCTACAATGTGGATGAATATTGAAAAATTTACACTAAGTGGAAGAAGTAGTCAGCCACAAAGGACCACAGATTATATAATTCCATTTATATGAAATGTCCGGAATACCCAAATCTATTGAGAGTGGGAAGAGTATGGGGGTGATAGCTAAGGGGTACCTGTTTTCTTTTGGGGGAAATTAGAATGTTATAAAATTATAGTGATGGTTGCACAACTCTGAATTTGAATACACTGGGAGCCATTTAATTGTGTACTCTATGTGAGTGAATTCTATAGCATGTGAATTACATATCAGTAAGGCTGTTAAAATGGTCAACTTTTTTACATGCTATTTTCCAGCTCGTCATATAGAGTTCAGGAAACACATTAAGGACATTAAGGTTCTTGAGAAAAAGAGAGCCATGTTTGAATGTGAAGTCTCTGAACCTGACATTACTGTACAGTGGATGAAAGATGGCCAAGAACTGCAGATTGCAGAGAGGTTAGTAATTTTGTCTTATTGTATCCCAGTAATGCTGTTTCTTTTGAATCACATACATTAAGCTCCAATTTACATTTCATCCACAGAATAAAGATTCAGAAGGAGAAATATGTCCACCGCCTTTTGATCCCATCCACGCGGATGTCCGACGCCGGCCAGTACACAGTGGTAGCAGGAGGCAACATGTCCACTGCTAACCTCTTTGTAGAGGGCAGGGATGTTCGCATTCGAAGTATTAAAAAGGAGGTTCAGGTATTGTCTACAAGCTGAATTTTATGAGACATCATCAATAGTGCCTAATCCATAGTTTTATATTTTAATTTTTGATTTCTAAATTTTCTTTCTTTTTTTTTTTTTTTTTGTGTTTGTTTGATGTCTACATTTTCTAGCCACAGTCTTTTAAAGATTAAAATCAGCTCATCCCTGCTGGCTTAGATTCTTATGCTGACACCAATTTAGTCATAGTTTCTACTCACTTGGGGAATATGTGTGTCCTTAGCAGCTGTCTAAGTATTTTAATTAGAGCATCTGTAGAGACCTCACTGTAACAAGTGGCCACTTGCTGAGCAACACCAACCAGAAATGAACTAAAATTTAAATTATGATGTTCAGACATCAATTAGAATTAAGGAAATTTAAAATGAGGTAGAAAATTCTCGGGTTTCTATCTAGGGAGAGGCAGGTGTGCAAGGATTTAGTGCTGAGAACTCTTTCTGTGAGGAATTCCAGTCTGAGCAGCACTGGACTCCTCTTAAGGATGCTGAGCAAACACCTTTGCTCTCTACTGTATTTGCAGAGTTGGTCCTCATGGGTACCAGTCTTCCCAAGTGATGCAATGGAGGGAATGTGTTCAGAGAAATACCTTTTGAGTTCAACTTTCACCATATTGCTTATCCAAAGACCTTAGGCCATCGTGAAAAAGCTTTCAATGAGGATTCAGATCACCTGAATGTCTTCTAGTCTTTATTTTCCAATTCTGAACCTTGTTGCTGTTTTTCCTTTTTTTTACTTTTAAAGCAAAGATAATAACTCTGACCTAGCTTGCCAAGTTATTGTTCATATAATATGAAATCAAGTTGAATAGTGACTTCAAAGAGCTCTACAAATAATTGAAAGTCCCCAGTGTAATATGTCATTACTTTTTTATTATTAATTAAGAAGCAAAAATTTAAAGATGAAATGATTGTCTCCCTGGACAGCCTCCCTCATTAGTGCAGGTATAAACATGATTCTCTACAAAAGAAGTTTGGGTAGCATTTGTCAAAGACTAGGCAGGAAAAATTAGAATATTACATAATCAGCCAACTTATAATGTACAGATTTTGTATGCTTGTCAAATCAACAGTTTTAGAAATAAGAGGAAACTAGATCAGATTTCAGTTTTCTTTTTGTTACTCTATCAACAGGTCATTGAGAAACAGCGTGCTGTAGTTGAGTTTGAGGTCAATGAAGATGATGTAGATGCCCATTGGTACAAAGATGGCATTGAAATTAATTTCCAAATCCAAGAACGACACCAATATGTGGTAGAGAGAAGAATCCACCGTATGTTTATCTCTGAGACCAGACTGAGTGATGCGGGTGAATACACCTTTGTGGCAGGAAGGAACCGGAGTTCTGTGACTCTTTATGTCAATGGTACGTAGTAGAGATTTAACCAATTATATGGATCCATCTGGAGTAATCCTCTCTTTTAAGTAACTGAAGTTCTGGTAGTTCCTGGGCAGTTTCTAAAGAATCCATGGCACTTGTATGACTGAAGATACATTTATTTTCACACTATACTTCTGGGAAAGGGAGGGTAGCTATTACAAGTATTATTGAGAGGTCATTTCCAGGAAGCACCTAAAGGCCATATCCTCTTTTGATTGATCAATGCTGTTGAATGTCCACTGTGTGTCAATTGTTATATGTCCCACATATGATTCTAAATACTGCATTAAAGTGTTTTAGTTCTCTGTCCCAAGTGCTTAAGTACCAATACCAACATTAAACAGGTGATAGAGACATTTCCAGGTTCTGGTGTGAAGAATCTGGGGGAATCCTAAGATTCCCTTTGAGACTGTGGGAGGGTCCAGAGCCACAGATACTATGGATCTAGGTCCTTATTGCCTCAAGCTCTAAGATCAGAAGTTCAAGTTCCACATACTACCAAGCACTCTGGCAGAGCCTGAGAGCAGTCTGTCCTCAGGCGGGTACCATTAGACCTCTGCTTTCTTCATTAGAATCCTTATTGCTGAATTTGAGACTGGTCTAGATTGAAGGCTAATCTAGATACACAGAGGAAAAATAGAACCTTCCTCCCATCCCTATCCTGGGCTCTATCTTGAACACAATACCCATAAGTCAGACACAGGAACACTCAAGATTCACAAATGCGAACCATTTACCAACCATTTTCCTGGGTTCCTAAAAGACCAACTGGTCATAATATCCAGTTTTTACTTCTGTATTAGTGGTGGAGAAGCTGAGACATGAAGTAAAGTTCTTTTCTATAGTAGTGTTAGAAACCGGCCTTGTAAAAGTCCTCTCTCCCTTTGTCTGGGTTCTGCGAACTGCCCAGGTCCGCTTGCTCATTCAACACTGAGAATAAGCTTTAAGTAACATAACAGAAATTTTTGTAAAATCACTTAATTGAGCTTAACTAGATCTGAAATAATATTCATTTATTCTTTCAATACATACTGATTGCATTTCACTGGCACCTGTTTATAGTGAACTGACAATGATATATACACAAATCCTTGCAAAACAAATAAACCTGAATGGAATGAGCTGCCCCATTGCATGACTTTTATTTGATTGATTAATTGATACTATGGATTGAACTTAGGGGTGCTTTATCATTGAGCTATACCTTTAGCCCCTTTTGATTTTTTATTTTGGTCTTAGGTCTTCCTAAGTTGCCAAGACTGACCTTGAACTTGTAATCCTTCTGCCTCAGCCTCCCAAGAAGTTAAGACTATAGATGTGCGCTATTGCACCTGGCTCCAAATGACTTTTAAAAATAAGTAGCTCATAGAAGTTGTTCTAGAATTATCTTAGGCGTTCAATGTTATGTACCATCAAGGAACTAAAATAAACATGTTATAGTGAGAAACTGCATTCTCAGCAATACCCTCCATCCCATGTTAAAAAAAAAAAAAAATCTTCTGAAGCTATTCCTTCTACTTGAGGGTGAAATTCCTGCTTAGAATAAATAATGTTTTAATATTTAATTTAAAGATATCACAATTCCAAAATTTTGCTTCTGGCAACAAATGAGTGTAGAGTCCTGTGTGCTCTCTGTGTTTTCACACTTTTTCATAGGCTGTCTCTGTCCTTTACTTCCAGCTCCAGAACCACCCCAAATTCTGCAAGAGCTCCAGCCGGTCACTGTGCAGTCTGGCAAGCCTGCCCGTTTCTGTGCTGTGATATCTGGCAGACCACAGCCCAAAATTTCCTGGTACAAGGAGGAACAGCTGCTTTCCACTGGCTTCAAGTGCAAATTTCTTCATGATGGGCAGGAGTACATGCTTCTGCTCATTGAAGCCTTCCCAGAGGATGCTGCTGTCTACACCTGTGAAGCCAAGAATGACTACGGAGTTGCCACGACCTCTGCTTCACTTTCAGTGGAAGGTAGGAGTGCTACTTGCTAATGAAGCCCGCAAGCCAGATTCTTTGCTCTCCCAGTGCATTTAAATTACAATCTGGAACTTGTAAAAGATTCTACCCAACTTTGAAAGTGTTCCATTGCAAAATAAATGAAGATAAATCTGCATGCTCCCTTCTGTGAGATCTGTGTGGTGAATTAATCATGACAAAACCTTTGGTCTTTTTGTTTAGTTCCAGAAGTCGTGTCTCCTGATCAGGAAATGCCAGTTTATCCTCCTGCCATTATTGCCCCACTTCAGGACACCGTCACTTCTGAGGGACGGCCAGCCCGTTTTCAATGCCGAGTTTCTGGGACAGGTAGGCTTATACACGAAAGCTCTCATTGCTAGTATTTACAAAGAATGATGGAAAGAAAATCCTCTCTCACCTTTTCCTCTATCACGAACATCTTATGCATAATGTGAAGCTTGATGGGTATCTAGCAGGCTCACTTGAATTATTGAATGAAGAATTAGATGAATATTTTCCACTACTGTTGTATAGCCTTAAAAATGGTTAAAGTGGTAAATCTCGTGTGTGCATATTGTGTGTGTTTTCACCACAGTTAAAAAAAAAATTAGCTCAGTGTTTTCCACTAATCGTCAAAAAATGTCATGTTCCCTTATGAATGTAGCTGCACTTTTATCCCCTGATTGAGACATTACAATGACAAAAACTATACTTATTATTGTACTAATTATAATAATATCTGCAAGTGTTTCAAAAAAGAGTCCATTTACATGTAAGACATTATTTAGTCTATGAACAATCCTGTATGAATTATCTGTTCCTTTGAAAGGCAATAGCGTTCAAAAGTGGGAGCTTAATGGTCAGAGAGGCTGGATTTGAATCTTGGCTCCAATGTGTGACCTTCAGTAAATGTGTGGTTTATCTGTTTCTATTTCCCTCACAAATGAGGATATTATTGCATTCAATCTTAGAATATTCATCTCTTGAGGGAGAGATACCGAACTAGCACTGGAACCTGGTGCATGCAACATGGAACCTATTAGAAAGTAAGCTCATGAGAACAAGTGTAGACCCTTACTCAAGAATAGCACCCTGGTACATAGCTGGCACTCCATAGCAGGGTTGGCTTGGACAGTGAATGACTGTTATGTGACCAACAGCAATCACTGAAGCCCATTACCAGGATTAAGCTAGCTGACTTGAATTGGTATAATGCCCAGTGCCATCATAGACAAATCACTCAGAATTCACTGCTTCTATTTTTATTTGAAGCTTACATTTCACACATTATCAGCCCTTCCCCTCACCCCAGAAGTCTGACTTTGGAAAAATGAAATAATACATGTAGAGCCATTTCAAACCAGTTATGATTGCACAGATAGAGATGAGATAAATCAAAGGAATAAATTATTGATTTGTCCTAAATGAAACTCATTGCCTCATTTGCTTGGCTTTTGTATACCAACACTAAAGGGAAATTTCAGAGCTCAAGTATCTCACTGTACTCTTAATCAATTTTATTGTTTTGTTTATTATGCTTCTCCCATTAGTTTATAACCCAATCTCTACCTTGCCAGGGTCTATTTTCCCAAACAAGTTAGTGTTTCAATAAGTCTTCTGACCTAATGATTTCCTCCTCTAGGATGGAGATGGTAAGCTGGAAACCAAATGGACCTGTGGATTGTATGATCATAATCAAAATACAATACACAGAAAGCACCAATAGGCACAGTGCCAAGTGACTGGTGCTCAGTGCATTCATTTTATTATACCCACATGGAGGCTGTATATGCATAAAAGTCTAGTATTGGATGAGCAACACAGGCAAAGATTAGAGACTTTCTGTCATTGAGCCATAGTGTTTGAGAAACACTAAATATCAATAAATCAGGACTGATCTGATAATATCCTACTAATACAATAAAGAAAAATTATTTTAAAATTAGATTCACTAAAACTACACTAAATAATTTACCCATTCATTGAATATTATAGAAAGCTTTTCATATAAACAGATATAGATCATCCAAAGTAGTAATAGTTATCTCAGCTATATTTATATAAATTTTTTGTCTATAGAAAAATATAGTTTTGACTTGAAGCTGTTGCAAAAACATATTTTAAGCTTTCTATAAGATTCTGGGGTAGAAAGAGAAGAATTCTGTCTTTTCTGCATGACTAATGCCTTTAAATGCTTGAATGAGTCTTATAAATTCATGAGATCATTAACTCCCTATGTGTGGTAATGTTTCTTATACATGTACAGGGTTAAGCATCCTCTTGTAGATATATTTTCTATATGACAGATATTGAATTCATTAAATAAAATGCCCTTTCAAAAGCTTACCAAATCACAAATTCATCCCTGGGTCTGAAAATATTTCCACAATATACCCTGACTAGGTATTACCTAAAAGAGTAAACACAGTCCTGCCTTCTATGAAGTGGATAAAACTGAGTTTTCAAAAGCCTTGGTCTTGTGTTTCTGGGGACTCCTGAACCATGTCATAGGGTTCCAAGCCATCTGGTGATGCTTTTCTCACAGTGAAAATGTTATTTATGGCAGGTCTCTGGTGACCCCTACTGGTCAAAGATAAATTTAGAAAAGTAAAATGTTTTTTGCCTTTATTTTATTTATTTTAAATAAATGACAGTGGAATGCATTACAATCCTTATTACACATATACAGCACACTTTTTCATATCTCTGGTTGTATATAAAGTATGTTGACACCAGTTCATGTCTTCATACATGTACTTTGGATATGATGGCTATCATCCTTGCTAACCTCCTGCCCCCTTCCTTTCCCTCCCACCCATCTGCCCTATCTAGAGTTCAATTTTTAAACAATACAACTTACAGCTAGCTTCTTGCAAGTTAGTGTCATTTATTTGGAGGCTGATAGTGACTAGCTAAATGAAGTAACTAGTAGTGAGGGATGTCCATTGTTCATTTGAGCATCTATTCCATTTCTATTCTACTGACATTTATTGTATCCCTACAGTTGAGATGTTATACTAGGTGCCGGGGGTGCACAGAACAGGCTGTAGGTGAGGAGATGAGTGTGGTCAGCTGGAGCCCAAGGTTGTAATCGCTACAACAAGTCCACACATCAGTCTGGGAGATAGTCAGAGGATGCTGTATTGAAGAAGTAAGACCATCAGGCACAATGGTGTTACAGGCAGAGAGAACCTTCCTAAAGTCACTTTGTGTACTGGAAGTGACAAGTGATTGAGTATGGTTGGAAAGCAATGTCCTGAGAGGATAAGGACGCTAGAAAAGAAGACAAAGGCCAGATACTATAGTGTTGGTATTTTATGCTTAGGATTTTGGAGTTTATCTTGTTTACTTTGAGGAGCCACTGCAGGATTTTTAAACTCCTGGGTAACATGATCAGGCTTGTTTTTGAGAAATAACACTATGATAAGGAACAGAGAAATGGACAGATATAGGAGGCGAGACTGAAGAGGGACTGGGGAGAGGCTGCTATTGTAGGATGGAGAGTGCTGGCCAGTCTTCCCCAAGGGGAGTCAGGAGGGAGAAGTAAGTATATTGCCAAGGGAGGTTTTGCCCTTTGGCTCATTTGCTGTTGGCAGTTCATGTGTGTCCTCCTTCAGTTCACAAAGGAAAAACTGTCAGTGGGAATAGCAGAGGACCTTGTACAGGGATGAATGAACTCTGCATCCTTCCGTTTCCATTGGCGATTAAAAACACACCTAGCATATTAAGTAGTTGCAGGATGGCTGTGCAGTTCCATGTGATGGTGTTGCCAATTATGTCACATGTCTTTGTCTTTGGGCATGGAATTGAAGACACTGTGATGTTAGGTACTCTCATTCTAATGAATGACTTGTGCCAGTGGCTTATAAAGCCTTTCATGCATGCTATGTCATTTAATTCTCGCAGCCATTTTATGCAATGAATTGTGGCACTCCTCATTTTTCAAATGAGAAGACTGATCAGAGAGGCTAAATGATATAGCCAAAGTCACACAGCTGGCCCAGAGCAGTGTCAGGATTCCATTCTTTAACTTACCTTGGAACAACAAACCAATATGTTTCATTCAAAGGAGAACCCGTAGTTTATAAACAACTACCATCATAGGAAGGAGGGTAACCTTCATAGATCAAAACTGTTGCCAAAAGGCCAAGGATGGGGTTGTTAGAAGATTCCTATGGATGGTATTGAGATAGGAAGTGGGATAGTTCCAAAAACAAGATGGCTTTGATTCTGGCAATTTAAACCTAATTTTAACACCTAAATTTAAAATGCACATTACCATAAAGTACAACAGTATAATAATATTTTATCCTTTATTTGGGTTTGTATTTCTATTAAGATGGCTCAAAACATGTATGGAAATAGTTTTATTGTAACTGCTACTTGGGAAAAAATTTTAATTTTTAAGGTGCCCAAATTCCATGAAGCTCTCAGTGTCTGTCTGTCTCTCTGTCTCTCTCAATTTAAATTTTTTTCTTCTGTACAATTATTTGTGCCATACATTTTGCTTAACTGAGCCTTTTGACACCTGTTCATTGATAACAAAACGTACAGATTTTTGTCTTTGGCCTTCAAGAATGTCTACTTTAGACTTTATAGGATGTTGATTTTCTCAGCTGTCTTTTTGATTGATCACTGTGAAAACTGCAAGTGGAGATTTTCCTTATTTCTGTCTCAGAATACAGCCACAATCCCGAATCCGTCATTCACAATGACTGTTTTTCAGGACCATGTTTTTCTCAAGGTCACTAAATATGTCAAAATTGTGTTCCTGTCTGTATCCACCACATGATCTCCAAATGCCTCAAAAGAGTATAACTAAAATTCTATCATGTTAAATATTTCAAACCAGTGAGATAGAGCAAGCCAGATTTTTCTAGAATCATGATTCCTTCCTGAAGATGAAAGGAAGTCATTTAATAGTGGATTTATAGTCCGTCCAAAGGAAAAGTATAATGTCCTTAAATAAGCATGATGCAGTCTCTAGTCTGATATTATGTTTGCAAGTAATATTTAACACTTACTTATTTGGGGGACTTAGATGTTGACTTTTCTTTTTGATACAGATCTAAAAGTGTCTTGGTACAGCAAAGACAAGAAAATCAAGCCATCTCGGTTCTTTAGAATGACTCAGTTCGAAGACACTTACCAACTGGAAATTGCTGAAGCTTACCCAGAAGATGAAGGAAGTTATACTTTCGTTGCTAGCAACGCTGTGGGCCAAGTGTCAAGCACAGCCAACTTGAGACTGGAAGGTAGAGTAAAGCCACTTTAAGGCCACATTTTGATAGAGCTCTAATCTCACAGCACCAGTAACAATTACTAAATATTTCATGTAAATCATTGTTGGTCCTACCATTTTCTTTTAATTCAACTAATTATTTCCATGTCATATGCAGTGCTCTGGCTCCTCAGTTACCCCTTCTCCCCATGAGTCAGGGACCATTATTTTTTATTTTGCCTGCTTTTTCCCCATAGACTTGTGACTGGTCACTGTCATCACCAGCTTTTCTGTCTCCTGATCAGCCTGTGTCCCAAAGGGGAAAGAGATGCTGAAAGAATGGGCATATTTGTTTTTTCATTTAGCTGGGATGAGAATCATTAAAAAAAAAAAAAGCAATGAAGTGCCATTACCCTCCCATTGTATTGACACAATTATGATTTTACAGGAGTGACAGTAGACAATTTCACATCTGTTCACAAGCTGGAGGTGTTTACCATCCCTCAAAGAAGGCCTAGTGTTGAGTGGCCAGGTATTAAAGTGGATTCACATTTCTGTTAGTTGGGGATCTGAAGTTGTCAGCAGACATACTTCCTTCAGTTCAAAGACAGGGTAACATGCTAATGCATCAGACTATTTTTTTCTGAATGAATATAGTCTAAGTAGTGTTAGGTATACACAAATACACAGTGATTTAGGAAAATGTATGTTTGTTCCTTAACTTTAAACACTTACTATAATGAGATACTTTCTTAATAATAAGTAATAATAAATAAAATAATAAATAATAATAAATAAAAACAGAAAATGTTGTTTCACAATCAGAGGAAGAAAAGACAAGAATACCTAAACTCATTTCCGAACTCCACTTTTCTCAAACAATATGATGAAGTTCCTTAACCAATTGGGGTCTCAGCTTTCCTGTCTGGGAGTGGAAGTGAACTTGTGTGACTTTGATTCCATGGTGACATCCAATGGCAAAGCATTAAGATTGGACTGGAGTTTAGTTCGTTGTTGAAATTTGATACAGATCTTTAGACAACTCCAAACGTGTTTTGGTTTCAGTGCAGGGAAAAGACATTAAAAACTGGCATGCTTCTTTTCAGGATTTAGCAAATATGAAGAAGTTACATCAAACTCCCTGTGGCATGTCTCTTCATCAATTTCATTTAAGAAGGAGGCCTTTGGCCAAAAGCCCATCTTCATCCAGCCTCTATCAAGCCTCAGGGTGCACAGCGGGGAGACAGTCAGATTTCATGCAAGGGTTTCTGGTGTTCCCAAGCCAGAAATCCAGTGGTTTCATAATCAGCAGCCAATTCCACCAACAAAAGATGTAGTTTTCCATTTTGAGGAGTCCACAGGCATGGCTTTATTGCTTATAGTTGATGCTTACTCAGAGCATGCTGGGCAGTATTCTTGCAAAGCAGCCAATAGTGCTGGGGAAGCCACTTGTGCAGCTACACTCACAGTGACTCCGAAAGGTAAAGCCCATCTTGCTTCAAGGACTTTGATTTGCTGCATACCTTCTAGTCCCACTGTTACTAACAACAGTCTTTGCTGTTTGTTTCACTGCATACTGTAGTCAGCCTGTAATTTACTAATAAAGTAACACCCAACAAGGCTCCCCAAGTCCTCGACCATGGCTCGACCTATGTACCTTAAATCTCATGTGTGTTCTGTGCATTGGAGAACCAGTAATGATTTCTCTAGGTACCAACTTGGCTTGACTTTTTTCACTTTTCTAAACAAATTTGCCTCAGTAAATGATCTATGTGCTTTATATTGTTCATATGACGGAGGGAGAATAAATGGTATCCCAAATAGAGTCAGTTAAAAAAAAGAGGAGGGGTGGGGAAACAGACTGTGTCACTCCACTTAGCTGCAAGGACAACAGAAGGAAGAAATCAGAACTGTATGGCAACCGCATAAGCCTTCATCAACCACTCATGACTGGAACGCTGGGAATGAATTTTCTTTTTGTGTGATCCTGACATCCATACTGCATCTGGCATGCTGCTTCCAAGTGACAATGACACCTTTCATCTTCATCTTCCATGCTATTATATGTTACTAACCTAGCCAAGTGACAAAGTTGAGATCTTAATATTCTTTTCTTTTTCTTGTCACTTGATTATACAGTGCAAGCCCTAGATAGGCAAAGTTCTGGGAAAGATGTAAGAGAGTCCACCAAGTACCAGGCAGTGGCAGATTCCTCTTTCACAAATGAGGAGAGCAAAATATCCCAAAAGGAAGTTAAGTCATTTCAAGGATCATCATATGAATATGAAGTGCAGGTTTTTGAAAGTGTATCTCAAAGTTCTGCCCACACAGCTGCCTCTGTTCAAGATGTAGAGTTGCACCATACCACGTCCCTTTCACAAATTGCAGAAAGCTCTGAGTTGTCTGAGAAATGTGCTCAAGAGTCCATGGGTGAGGCACCGAAGATTCTCCTGCACCTTCAAGACCTCACTGTAAACTGTGGTGACACTGCTCAGTTCCTCTGTGTTTTAGAAGACGAATCTTCTGTTGATGTAACCTGGACTCATGAAGGCGTAAAGATAGAGGAATCTGAGAGAGTGCAACAATCTGGAAATGGAAATCTTCAGTCTCTTATCATATACAATGTTCAGCTGGCAGACCAAGGACTGTACAGCTGCATTGTACACAATGGCTATGGAGAGAAGACCACATCGGCCGTACTAAGCGTAGAAGGTGGTTATTTGATTTTTTTTAGCTATGAATCACCTCATTTCATCTTCATCGCTTTATATAAGCAGCTTTTCATGCAGCTATGCAAATTGAAACAACATGTTAATTAGAATGTCTCTGGCATTTCTCTTTATAAATGGCTTAGGAAAGTAGGCCAAGTCAGTGGCCAAACTTGTCATGATAATTTAATTCTCTACTCCAGTTTCAGGAAGTTTAACTTTCAAGTCTAAGTTCAGGAAGTCAAGATTTATTTCCTATCTGCTGCTTTTTATAATATTTACTCCATGAGCCACCTAGAAAGTGTACCAAAGAAAGCTTCAATGTTGCAGTTTGCTGTGTACTTATTGGGTATTTACAATTTTGTCTGAGAGTGTGTTAAATTTAATTGTTTTGATAGTAAGAGACTCCCACTACCCAATTATCTACCCTTCCTTTTCAAAGTTAGAGGTTCTAGTTGTTTAGAAGGAGACTGTAAAAATAGATAATTGGGTACTCAAAATAATAAGGCTCTCTGTGGACCAAACATAGGGTTTTTTGTAGATACTTCTCAATAAGTGATATTGCTCTTGCAGCATTAGATCCCCTGGAATTGTAGAATTTTCTCATGGCAAGATCATTATTTTTGTCATTATCGTGCTTGATTCTTCACTATGTCTGGAAGAACACAAGTAAATCTGTCTAGGCAAGAGAAAACTTCTCCCTCTCACCAATAGCCTTTCATTTTAGATGCTGAGAGAGTGAGAAAAATCATTGTTCAAATGCTAGAAGCTCACATTGTGCATCTGCTGGCAAAGGAGTTTCATTGAGCCCGGTGGAAAGAAGCTAGTGGAAGGAAGGGCATTTCCAGGGGTTTGTGGAAAGCCGTAACCTAAGTTCCTCCACAATCCTGACAATAATGTGGAAATGTTAGAGATGAACAGGGAGCAGCACAGTGCTATCTCTATGCACAGCCATCTCTGCACTGAATTTTGAAACTATGGTTATCTTTCCTGCCCAATGAGAATATTCATTTAAAATATCTGTAATACCCACTCACCAAAAAAGAAACTTTTTAAATCAGAGATTGTATTCTATAGTCATTTCTGTTCCTGTTTCCATAGCCTACAAAAACTGAGGTCTAGTTATATAAAATAGATTGGAAATTCCGGAGCATTGACCCTCAATTTCACTGCAACTTCTGGCTGGCACAGTAATCACAAAATGAATGACTGCTTAGCTGGAGGTGTTGTCTACAATTCATGTAGGTGACAGCTGTCATGGTTTCTGCAGAAATGTGAAACTTGGAGTTGGATGTGTTGTTGAAGCGTAAGAAATGTAGGTCTTCAACTTACTTCCTGGGGAATCCAGTGCTGTAGTATAGTACTGGACTGTCACACTCATGGTGTGGATCTGAGCTAGGCATTTTTACCCCAGGATCTCTAGTTCATGCTTTTCCAAATGATCCTATTTTTAAAGTGTTCTTGAAGCAAGAGCTTTCCTTCCTTCCTTCCTTCCTTCCTTCCTTCCTTCCTTCCTTCCTTCCTTCCTCCCTTCCTTCCTTTCTTTCCAAGTCTAGACTGCCTTTCTTGTACATACAAAACTTAAAAGATAATACACTTAAACACTTTAAGGTGTTTGAAGAGTGAAGAATCAGGCACAGTCATGTAATTGTTTGACATAAGCCCAGTATTTATATGTTCCTTTTCTATTGGGGCTGAAAAAAATTCATCCAAGCCATGTAGTTGTCCACCAAGATTCAAGCAAGAATGTAAATCCCCCATAAGCCTGTTTGATTAGAGTTATTTATATGTGTAATAAACATAGATGTATCATATCTTAGTTTGGGGACTAACATGCTGCATTTCGTTCTCATCCTAATGACATTTCATCTTCTCTACATTCAGCAGATGTTTTATACATATAAACATAGCTAATTTATGCCTTTTCCTAACTTTATTCTTACCTAGCAAAAGAATCGCAAACCAGAACAGTTACAAAAGTTACCCTTGGTTCAGACACTAAAAGTATTAAAACACTCAGAGAGTCACACATTAAAACAACCCACGAAGTAAAAAGAGAATCTTCGAAGAAAACATCAGCTTTGTCCTTAACTTCATGCTGAAGACCACAAGGAACTGAGAAGAAGGGGAATCCAGCTGGCTGACGCAATGTCACATGGACCATGGAGCAAGAGTCTTTCCCAGGAAGCTGCCCCACAGACCACTGTGCCTAAAAGCTCTGCTGGTTCCTTGTATAATAAAAGGAACTTTGAGTCCAGGGGTCTTTGTTTCACTCCTTGATGTGTCATGGGACTTTAAAGTTTGAAGTTTAAGGTTTGAAAGGTAGTTCAAATCAAAGAGAGGATATGCTAGCAAAAATGTTTAATTCTTCAGGAAAAACTGAGAATAGCCCTCAACTAAAAATGACAAGCTAGAAAATGCATGTTTCTAATAAACGTGATTTCATCTCTTAGCAAGTGTTCAGTCAATAGGATGGTCAGTTTAAGAATAGATATTCCTTTATTTTTGTGGATTGCTTTTCTGAATGCATGCAAAGGCATGGGGATTATGGGACTAAAGGAAATTTAATGGAGAAGCTAAAATAAAAATGTTTTTAATCTCTCTGTCAACCTTGTCACGTATTTTATCAGCTTATTGATTTGTTTGGCATGGACTTTTTGGTGAATTTGGGGGATGCAGTTTTCTGGTTTTATAATAAATTATACAAATCATATAAATCATGAATTGATGCAGAGAGGATATGCATTTAATCACTAAAATATCTTTGTTTTTCCCTTTTAGCCCCTGAATCAATGTTACATGAGAGGATTGAAGTGGAGATGAAAGGTATTGTTATAATGAATGTGATATTAAAGTAGAAATTCCGAAGGATTAATAGAATCCTTGAGCCGTCTTCTTACTCTTAGTATCATTGAGAAAAATGACATAGATGTACAAATATATCTCTTAGAGTATATATTACTATGTCGCATGCCTGGTTTAGTATGCTGGTGGTTACATGCATTTCACAGTAATTTTGTTGTATGGAAATTTTAAATCTTGTATTTAAACTGTATCAGCGGTATTCAACCTCATGTTTGCAGCCATTTTCAAATGTGTGAATTATAAAAAGTTATCATCTTAATGCATGAAATCATGAAATAGAAGTTTGTTTTCAAAATCACAGTGAATTCAGTTGAACAATAGGCAATAACCTATCATTCTCAGAATGCAACGTCATGAATGAATTATGATTGAAATGCTACTTTATTTAGGATGTGTGAAAACATTACATTCCCATTCTTGGTTTACACTTCATGCACATACATCATTTTAACATTGATATGTCTTACACTGGCTTGCAGATAGCTGTCTCATGTGACCCTTATTGCCTGCTTTTCTTTGCATAACATTGTGACTCTATGGCTGTATTAGTTCGAATAAACGCCTTCTCCTTTTAGCTAATTATTTATGGTTATAGTTCTTGTATATATTTTTAAATAGTTAATTCTCAAAAATATAATAACTTAATCTACAATCAAAAGGATCAGAAAGGGCGTTTATTCCACTCTCTGCAAGTCAGGTAAGATTTTCCCTCTAAGCCATCAAAACAACAAGGTTTTCCTGCTCTCAAAACAAATATGCACAGGACTATGTTATTTTGAAATGCATTTTTGCTTGTTCAAGAAGAAATTTCAACAGTTTGAAGAAAAGACCAGACAACGAACGATTTTCGTGTCAGAATCTTTTAAACAGAGCATGGTGTTGCGTTTATTCGAACAAATATGGTGAGTGAATTTTTTTATGGATTTGTGAGAATCTGTAGCATGCACTTTATTTCATTTTCGATTTTGCAATTTATTTTCAACTTTTTCAAATGTGACGGAAAAGAGTAAAATGCTTTATAATTTAATTTTTTTTCAGAGTTATTCACCGAGGGGGAAGCTGAACCTTCAGAAGGAGATACACGTGATGCTTTTTCAGATTCTGAAGACATAGACCATAGCTCCATGACTGCTAAAAGATATGCAAGTAGAATATCATCGACAAGCTCCTGGCCTGAATATTTCAAGCCTTCTTTTACCCAAAAACTTGCATTTAAATATGTTTTAGAGGGTGAACCTGTTGTCTTTGCATGTAGATTAATTGCCTGTCCAACTCCAGAAATGACTTGGTTTCATAATAATCGACCTATCCCAACAGGTCTCCGTCGGGTTATAAAAACTGAGAGTGATTTACATCATCACTCCTCCAGCTTAGAGGTTAAAAGGGTCCAAGATAGAGATTCTGGAAGCTATAGATTATTAGCCATAAATAGTGAAGGGTCTGCTGAATCAACTGCCTCATTGCTGGTTATCCAGAAAGGGCAAGATGAGAAATATTTAGAGTTTCTGAAAAGAACAGAACAGGCACATGGAAACATGGAGGCTTTAGCTGGAAGGAAGGAAGATAGGATAAAAGTTGACCTAAGGTTTACTGGCTCTCCCTTTAACAAAAGACAAGATGTGGAACAAAAGGGAATGAGGAGAACTATACACTTTAACACAGTAAGTCCTGGCAAAAAAACAGATTATATGTATGATGAAGAATATTTGGAAAATAAATCTGACATAAGAGGATGGCTCAATGTAGGTGAAAGTTTCCTGGATGAGGAGACTAAAATGAAGTTACAACGTTTACGGGAGGCTAGGAGAATGTTATTGGAGAAAAAGAGGTGTCTAGAGGTGTCGCCAGAAATAAGCCCAAACACTTTGAGAGGTGAAGTTAGTGATACAGATATTCTGTTCTCTGGAGAGGAAACAAAGAGCGGGGTTGTGTTGGAACTCGCTGAGAACAGGGATGAGATGGCTAATTTACCAGAAGGTGTCATCCATCTCCCATGCACCCTCCCCAATAAAATGGATCAACACAGGGAATCCAGAGAACCTCCTATAAGCTTACAAAGTGCTGTTGATGAAGAAATTCTCCAGACTGAAATTAGCCTGAGGCAAGAGGCATTTCTAGAAGAAAGTCTACAGAAAGAGTATTTATATGATAGGTCTCTAGTAAATGAAAACATCCAAGCACAGAGACAGTATGAAGAAATTGTGAGTAATACTGCAATTGAAGAGTCATCCAAATATGTCACTAATGTATATGAGAGTGAGGAAATATATGAGACTCCCGAGAATGTCTCTCAAGTCTCTATACCATATGCCAGCGAATCTTTTGATACACTTGTACATCTTAAAGAAAGCGAAGAAATAGATAGTGAAAGAATGAGACAGTGTGATTTGAGAGAATTACAGCACTCTGCTTCCACAAAAATTGATGAATTCAAAAGGGAACAGGAGGAAAAAACAACCCGATTTTTTGAAAATCCTTTCCAAAAACGTCCACAACGTTGTCCACCTTTATTTCTACAAGAAATTGAATCTCAGGAAGTTTATGAAGGTGACTGTTGTAAATTTGTGTGTCATTTTCAAGGATATCCTCAACCCATAGTGACGTGGTATAACAATGATATACCAGTCCGACGTAATCGAGGATTTATCACTCAGACGTCAGAAAACCATTCAACTTTAACTTTTTCTTCTGTTCATCCTCAAAATGAAGGGACTGTTACCTGTGTGCTGTTTAACCAATATGGAACAGTAAAAGCAACCAGTATGCTTAGAGTGAGAGCAAGAGAAAGGTATGATGTCCAACCACAGAAAGTCCCAGTATTCCAGGAATATACAGATGAGGAGGAAGAGCTGGCTTTGGTGTTTGACCAAGCAGAAGGTGTCCATTCATCTTTGAGTCGAGAGAGCCAAGCAGATCTCCATGTGTTAAAAAGTCATGCACCAGGTCCTCCCTCTGCAGACACAGAATTGCTCTCCTTCCCTGTAGAAATTCAAATAACAGCAGCCACTCCAACCCCAGAACAGGATAAAGAGTTAAGAGAAATATTCCAGCTGGAACCTGAAGCCCCACCTCTAGATCAAGCAAGTCAGTCACCAAAACACAAATTTATATTCTCATCCGATATTACTAATGAGCCACCAAAAATGTTACAAGAAATGCCAAAGCATGCCAGGTGTAGAGAAGGGGATTCTGTGATTCTTGAATGCTTAGTATCTGGTGAGCCTCAGCCAATTGTAATGTGGTTCCAAAATGGAGCCCTTTTAATGCAGAACCAGAAGTTCCAATTTGAAGAAGTTGATTATAGCTACAGATTACATATTCATGATGTTAATTCTCAAGATTCTGGGGAGTATAAATGTGTTGCTGAGAACAATTCAGGAACCGTAGAGAGTGTTTTAGATCTAACCGTGGAACCTGTCACGTACAGGGAATACAGTCAATTCAAAAACACTGGTGGAGTTTATGCACCATATTCCAAAGATCAACAAGTACAAATTGAGGGAGAATCTGTGAGGGCACATTTTTATGATTATCCAGCTGGTACTTTTACTCCCCCAACAAATGTAAAAGAGTATTCTGTAAGAGGGTATTTTGAAAGCCTAGAGACAATTGAGCAGGTAGACCAGAAAGATCAGGTATATTGTACAACTCCTAAAGAAAAACTACCTAGATTTATGCAGGGTGCTTCTAGATCCATGAACATCAACAAGCCTCTCAGGGCTGAGCTCATACAATGTCAAGATGAAGAGGAAGAGGAACATGCAAGTGAAAAATCAAAGCTTCATCAAGCAGAGGGTACTGCTTATCCAAGTGTTGATGATTTCAGTGATGCTGATATTCAGAAAGAGTTAAGAAATGATTTTGAAAAACTTGGATCTGAATGGGAAAATGTGCAAGAACATGCCCAAAGAGACTATTTATCCAATATCCACTCTGAGAGAATTTCTGACAAAGTACAAAATATGAAAGACCCATCTACCATTATGTATGAAGAACCCTTTGATGGAGAGAGATACTACCTAGGGAAAAAGGTGAAGCATAAAATAATTGCATTTGAAAAGTTACAACATGTAGAGAAAGGAGTTCTAGAAAAAAGGCCTACCAAGAAATCATTTGTTAATCCTCCCCAAAGGAAGCTGGAAGACATAGACATTTCATTAAATCAAAGAGAATCAAGATTAAGTAATCTAAATGCAAATATGCATCAGGCAGAGAAAATGTCTTCAAACACTGAGACAGATTCAGCTAACGTTGTAATGAATTTGAAGCTGCTTTCCTCTCAAACTCATAAGGAATTTGAAGTACAAGAAAGGGAATACCATAAAGAAATAGGCTCTGTAGATCAATCTGCAGTTTCTGACAGGGTTGAACATGAAGCACCTGTTACATTTGACCTAAAGCAGTTTCATTCACAAATAGAAAATGCAGGTGTAATATTCCAAGAATTAGATAGTGGTCAATCAGAAGAAGCTTATTTTAAAACCCAGCATCCTGCTTCAACAGCAGCTGATACTGAGCACATTGTATTTGACCTAAAACAAATGTATTCTCATATAGGAGATCCAGCTAAGGAGTTCCAAGGACAAGAAACTAGGCAACAGCAGGAAACATTCTATAAAGAACAGACTCCTAGCCCTGAGACATTACAATCTGGTACCCAGAGTACCTCTCAAAGTGTACAAAATAACATATTTACCAATCAAGAAACTTATCCTGGTCAGGAGTTTAGAACTCTGGAGAAAAGTCACAGTGATGCAAATGCCTCTTATTTAGAAAAAGAAATCCAACATGTGCAGGATCAAAGTACAGCAATTTTAAAGACTGAGCATTCTTTTAAGTCCTTTACTGAAGCAATCTATGGTGAATCATGTGCCCCATTTCCAACCCCATCTGCTGGGAGAGAAGAAACTGATGTTTCTGAGGACAACGGATCTCTAGAAAATGGAAGTAGAAGTTTCATCTCACAGCTGAAAAAAGCAGCAAGTGAGGAAAAACTTTTAGAGGTTGATGAGATGGAAGAAGAAGGCATCAACCCAGACGTGGCCTCATTCCAAAGGCAGGATGGTGAGACACAGGGGGATACAGATGGAATTTACAAAGGTGATGCTCAGGACGCAGATGCACTCCACAGACAGCTGTCTCTCAGTCAGTGCTTGCCATTCTTGATGACTGGAGAACAACCAAATGCAAATGAACCAACAAGTCAAAAAACTGATGCCTCAGGAGAAGAAAAAGGTGATGAAGAAGTTCAAGTTCAAGATGAAGCTTCTTTCTCCACTGTAGAAGGAGAAAAGGCAGAAACTTGTTTTTCAGAAAATCTTCCTAAACTGGATGAGGCACATGCAACAAAAGCCTTGGAGTCCGAGACCTCTCTGACACAATATTTACTTGCCGCTGGAAAATCTGAGGTTCCTGAAACTAAAGACGTCAAACACCGAGCAAAACTTGTCCAGAGGGAGTCCATCACTTCGATGGAGGTTGAAGAAGTGACTTTCAACACTGTGTATGAATACTACAACCAAAAACAGGAATCACTAGGTCGTCCATATTCTCCTGAATCTGATATTTCCATTGATGTGGGAAGCATAAGCAGTGAGGAAATCTCTGAGTTAGATCAATTTTATACCCCACCGTCGTCTGTGGAACATTTTGAATCTTCGGATACAACTAAAGAACCAACTAAAAATTCAGAAAGTGACTCTGTTGAAAGATACTCCACACCTTTAGGGGAAGTTTCTGAAAGATACTCAACACCCCCGGGGGAGACTCTAGAGAGGTACTCCACACCCCCAGGGGAGGCTCTAGAGAGGTATTCTACACCCCCAGGAGAGGCTCTAGAGAGGTATTCCACACCCCCAGGGGAGGCTCTAGAGAGGTATTCTACACCCCCAGGAGAGGCTCTAGAGAGATATTCTACACCCCCAGGAGAAACACTAGAGAGAGATTTTATTCCTACCAAAGGACCAAACCCCACTAGAAATTTAAAAATGTCCCCATCAAAAATAGAAAGGGAGGACAGTACACCAAACGAACATTTCCATACGCCTACAGAAGAAAGAAGCTCAGCTTATGAACTATGGCGTTCCGATTCATTTGGCACACCCAATGAAGCCATTGAACCAAAAGACAATGAAATGCCTCCATCTTTTATTGAGCCTCTGACCAAAAGGAAGATATATGAAAATACAACATTAGGCTTCATTGTTGAAGTGGAGGGCCTTCCAGTTCCTGGTGTGAAATGGTATCGAAATAAATCGTTGCTAGAGCCAGACGAAAGAATCAAAATGGAAAGGGTGGGTAATGTATGCTCTTTGGAAATTTCTAACTTTCAAAAGGGGGACGAGGGAGAGTACATGTGCCATGCTGTGAACATCATTGGGGAAGCAAAGAGCTTTGCCAAAGTGGACATAATACCCCAAGAAGAAAGGGCAGTGGCACTCCCACCTCCAGTAACACATCAGCATGTCATGGAGTTTGATTTGGAAAACACAACCTCATCAAGAACACCTTCTCCTCAAGAAATTGTCCTGGAAGTTGAATTAAGTGAAAAAGATGTCAGAGAATTTGAGAAGCAAGTGAAAATAGTCACAGTGCCCGAATTTACTGCAGATCATAAAAGCATGATTGTGAATCTAGATGTTCTTCCGTTGAATTTAGTACCTCCAAATATGGATACAAGAGGGGAAGAAGACAGGGATTTAAAAATTGATTTAGAAGTATTTGACATGCCTCCACGTTTCATAACACCTATTTGTGATTTTAAAGTTCCAGAAAATTCAGATGCTGTATTCAAATGTTCAGTTATAGGCATCCCTACACCCGAAGTTAAATGGTATAAAGAATATATGTGTATTGAGCCAGATAATGTGAAATATGTGATTAGTGAGGAAAAGGGAAGTCACACCCTTAAAATTCTAAATGTCTGTCCCTCTGATAGTGCGACATACAGATGCAGTGCTGTGAATTGTGTAGGAGAGGCTATCTGTCGGGGCTTCCTCACCATGGGAGATTCTGAAATATTTGCTATGATAACACCAAAAAGTAAAGTGACTTTAAGCAGTTTAAAGGAAGAATTGGTCTTAAAAAGCAAATACGCAGACAGCTTTTTTGAATTTCAGGTGGTGGAGGGGCCTCCCAGGTTTATCAAAGGCATTTCTGACTGTCATGCACTATTAGGCACAGCAGCGTATTTCCAGTGTCTAGTCCGTGGCTCTCCAAGACCCACGGTTTATTGGTACAAAGATGGGAAACTGGTCAAAGGAACAAGATTTAGTGCTGAGGAAAGTGGCATAGGGTTCCACAACCTATTTATAACAAGTCTAGTAAAAAGTGATGCAGGTGAGTATAGGTGTGTAGCAACAAGCAATTCAGGCATGGCTGAGACTTATGCAGTCCTCACCCTAACCTAAAGAGAGATGGTTTAGCACCTCAGTAATGATTAAAATTTGAGTGCTTCCACATTTTCCAAAGTATATGGACCTAATAAACATCCAAATTAGACCACTCTGTTTGAATGCATTACACTGAAGACACCTGGGAAAGTATCGTCTCTGTAGAAACCTCATCCTTGTAATACATGTAAATATTCTCTTATCCAAACTGTGGAATCATCACTTGTGTCAGTTATGCTGTGTATCATCAAGCACAATTAAACATCTCCTTGGCTACCTAATCGTCTGGACCTCTGCTTTACCCTAATTCCTCCTCCACAAATGTTTTAGTAAGGTGCATTCTTTTTTAGCAGGCCATGCCAGATGATCCTCCAGACAATTGGTAAGAGAAATTCCTTTGCTCACATTATAAGTCATTTTTGGAATCAAATATTTGCATCCAAACTGTGGCTATTTACCAGGAGTTGGGCAAAAGGAGCAACAAAACCCAGCTTCACCCAGTCAGTAACTAACTCTATAATCTGTTGTACATTATAATCTTAGTATATTAATTTTGGTTTTTTTATTGTTTTCATTATTAATATCCTCTTAAATGTTTTACTTCTCATTGGGTTTGAAGGGACCAACTGTCTTTTTAAGGACAGGGTTCATCTAGATATTTGCAGAATATGCAAATAATGATCTTTCCATGTTTGGGAACATTTTCTCAACATTTTAAGACAGTGTCAAGTGTAAAGTGAAGCATTAACTTAATATTGGCCTGGGTGCAACTAAGAAAATTACTATCTTGTATTTACATGTAGATTTTAAACTATATTTCAATTTTGGAATCTTTAACATTAGAAAAAAAGAAGCTGAGGCATTTTAATAATTGAGACAATATGGTAATTTGTATTTCAGTGTATATTCAATTAACATTAAAATCTTGTCATTTTACTGAACTTTGTCTTTAAAACAAGAAATTAATAAGCATTCAAATTTTATTAAGATGTTTACATATATTTCTAAAGCAAGTTTTTAATTTCATTTTGCAAAATTAAAATTATAATAAATTCACAAACTCCTAACCTAATATCTATGAGCCTAAATTTTCTCATATAAAATTTAATAAATACAAAGAAATCTAGTTTTCTTATCTAAAAATGGGTTAGACCAAAAGATGCCAGAGGTGATATTCAACAATAAGATTTAGAATCATTCTAGTGATAATAGCTGTTAATATAATTTAGAATAAATTTTAGTTTCATAACAGACAAGAGAAATTATTATGGCAATAACATTATGAATCTAACCTCCCTCCAATTCTTAAATAACTTACTGTTATCTAGTGACTTTATTTATCACCTACATTATACGATATTTAAGAAACATAATTGTCTTAAACATACTGATTTGAATTTAAACATAACTCACTTAATTTAAATTTAACTTACAAAAGAATTCATGTATTCAATTGTGTTTATTGTGTTTCTTTAAACTATTAATTTTTTATTCCAACAGTGGGACTTTCTTATAGTCATCCAAATTAAAAACAATTGGAAGAATATGCAGAAAATAGGCAGAGAAGTCAGATTTTCCCTATACTCCTATTGTCCAGATTCCTAAAATCATTTGTTCTGAGTGTTCATAGCTCATCAGGAGATAGATACAGAACAGATACTTCTGAGTATATACTGTCATTCCTGAAATAAAATTAATTCTATAGTTTAGGAATTTAGGGTTCTATTCTACTTTTAACCACATAATGTGTGTTCAGATTAATTGAAATTCAGAACGTAACAAACACGACAAGAACATTTTACCCAAACATCTGTAGCTTAGCAACAGTTTAGAACCTGTTTCTTGACAAAGAATACGAAGGAGGGAAGAAAGGAAGGAAAAGAAAGAAATATTTTAATGCCATATTGGCTTTTCAGGAAGGCTGAAAAATATACTTTTATTCACATAAAAAAGAAGGCTTTATTTGATTTTGTTCGTTAGAATTCTTTCATTCTCAAATGCACTGAACTTGAGAATATGCAGAATAACGAAGACTAAAGAAAAATAAGCCTTGCCCACACACTTGGCTTACTTATTAATTGTTGTAGATAATTAAATGGGATTTTTTATTTTCTGACTCAATGACACATAACTTAAAAGCCTGAAATATTAATTTCCCTGATGCTGGAGAAAGAATTCTTTGTATGACACATAGTTGAATTAGATACAATTATTAGCTGCTATTGTTTCATGTTTTTTTTAACTATACCTTCCATGTTTCAGAACATTTGCATTCCATTGACTATCTGTTTAATGGTTAATGCATTGTGTTTTGAAGTAAGAAAAAATCTTTGAAAATATTTCAACATGTTAGGGTATTTTAATTATATTTACATTCATAATTCATTTTGGAAGTTCAAGTGATAGGAAAGCTAACATAACTTATATAGATCAAATGTACACCTAAGAGGCCACTCTTAGTATATGAAATTAGTCAGTGTTGTGTGGATTACTGGATGAGTATGATTCTTCATGCTATAGGCAAGTTTTACCAGTGTATTTAAAGCCAACAGACATGAGTCCTATCTTCTAATGCTATACGCTAGAACAGAAAGTAATTAGGGCATACGAGTGTTCCATGTGAGGCAAGTGAAGTGAACTAATGAAATAATAAAACTGCTTTTCAGTAAGGCAATAAAACTTCTAATAACAGGATTGTTCTACATACCTCACAGATTTAATGAAAAATTGAATTTCTTGCTATCAAATTACTGGTCCTTCATCCTGTCATCCGTAGTACTGTTTAGAGAGTGTCTGTTATTCACTGTTTCCTGTTCAATAACGCTGTGTAGGTTTTCTTCACACAATAAACTATAATCAGATTTCTAAAATTGGACTCATTTTCTCTTATTTATGATTCTTCTATTTTCTTAATTAATATCTTGTTTACAAAAGCTTCATTGAAAGGATATGACAATTTACACAAACGAAAGAAGACCTGTAACTGCCAACAGCCCTTCTTTTACAAATCCAAATTAAACATTTCCCATGACCCCTTATTTTTAATAGTGGCTTCATTTTGGAAAGAGTAACTAAAATGTAGATGGTTTCTTTGGAAATAATCGGTCTTTACAATGAAGATCATTTTTCTTTTCTTTTTATTTGATTTGATTTATTGTGGTACTGGGGATTGAACCCATAACTTTATGCATGCTAGGGAAGCACTCATGACCTCACTGAGGTCACTGAGCTACATCCTCAGCCCCAAAGTTGTTTTTTTTGTTGTTGTTGTTGTTCTGGGGATTGAACCCAGGGGTGCTTAACCTCTGAGCCACATTCCTAGTCCTTTTTATTTTGCAACAGGGTCTCAATAAGTTGCTTAGTACCTAGCTAGGTTGCTGAGACTGGCTTTGAATTTACAATCCTTCTGACTCAGACTCCAAAACTGTTGGGATTACAGGCAAGCACCACCATGCCTAGCCCAAAGATCATTTTTAAACTGAAGAAGGTCCTACATATTATGAGCAATTCTGGATCTTTTTAGAAATTGATTTAAATAATCCTAGATTCTTTTGTTACAAAACTCTAGCAAGCACTAGTTCAAACTTTAGTACTAGAATTACATAACAAGGAAGACTCATAAAAATGTCCTTCAAATTTATAAACTCGAGCAAAGAAGTGGATCAAAACTTGCATTTGTATGGTAACAATTATATAATCTTATATAATCTAAGAAAATTTAGAAATGTGCTTTTATATAAATTAATCTTAGAATACTCTAATGGCTACAGGAAAGAAAAAAACATAAGGCCATAAATTGGCACCTAATTCTTTAGTATTTTTTTTTTGTTAAACAAAATTTTATAGTAAAATAATAATCACTTTTCTCCATACAGAGATTTCTAGTTTTCTGGCTGCCGAGGAAGGACTTCAATCCTATAGTTCTGAACTTCAGTTATCTCATTTAAAAGAAACACTTGAACTTTTGTCTGAACCTCCAGTTCATTCAACTAAATTTGATATCAAAAAGGAAGGCACTGTCCCAAGTTTCATTAAAGAAGTGTCAAATGTTGAAATAAGCATCGGGGATGTGGCTAAATTGTCCGTTACTGCTATTGGCATTCCCAAACCTAAAATTCAGTGGTTCTTTAATGGGGTGATGTTAACCCCTTCTGCTGACTACAAATTTGTTTTTGATGGTAATGATCATAGCCTGATCATTCTGTTCACCAAATTTGAGGATGGGGGAGAATATACATGTGTGGCCAGTAATGAGAATGGAAAGGCAATATGTAGTGCATATCTAAAAATAAATCCCAAAGGAGAAGGACTCAAGGAGACAGAAACAGAATCAGCAGTGGAGAAATCTCTGGAAAAGCTTGAAGGTCCTTGTCCTCCTTTCTTCCTCAAGGAGTTAAAGCCAATTCACTGTGCTCCGGGGCTCCCTGCCATCTTTGATTACATGGTGCTTGGAGAGCCTGCCCCCACTGTTTTGTGGTTCAAAGAAAACAAGCAGCTTTGCACCAATGTTTATTATACCATCATTCACAATCCTGATGGCTCTGGGAAGTTCATTGTCAATGACCCTCAGAGAGAAGACAGTGGCCTCTACATGTGTAAAGCAGAGAATGTATGGGGTGAGTCCACCTGTGCTGCAGAGCTGCTTGTACTCCTGCAGGACACAGACATGACTGATGCACCCTGCAAAGCAAAGTCTACACCAGAGGTGTCTGATGACTTTCCAGAGATGTCATTAAAAGACCCTGAAGTCAAGGCATTCAATACAGAGCAGGAAATTGCAACCTTTGTAAAGGGCACCATTTTGAAAGCTGCTTTAATTGCAGAAGAAAAGGAGCAGCTTTCTTATGGGCATATTATTAAAACCAGTGAACTAAGCAGTCAAGCTACTTTTGGAGCGCAGCAATTACAATCCACAGTCATGTTGGAGCAAGACATGCCCACTCCTGAAAGCACCAGGGAACTTCCTTCCATTGATGGGACTACTTATATGCAGCCCATCAGGGAACCACCTCCTGATT